AAATTCGGTTTTAGTGCAAAATACGATTTAGGCTAAAAATGATGGCTCATTAAGTCAATATATATTTCATACTAAAATCTCATAAAATCAAGTTTTCTTATTTGATGTGTAAGGAATAAAAGCCGCTAAAAATTATCTTGAGAAAATGATTATTCCGAAAAACTATTTTTCTTACTTAGTCAATATTGCACCTCCGCTAAAAATTTCTAGATCCGCCAGTGTTTCCATATTTCTAGCCTTTTATTTATTTAGATTGGAATGTTGTAATCATGTAATGTAGAAGGGGATATTTCTGGTTTTCATGTGGCTATCTTGACAACACTTGTTTGTTTTGTTGGTTCTGATGTTTATTGGCAGTAAAATTTTGTTTCTTTAAAAAAATTAAAATAAGAGCATCTCCAGCGCATGGCCCAGCCCGAGGGAAAGGCTGCCAGAGGGAGCCCGAGGCAGCTCCAGCGCAGGGCCCGTAGCCCGGTTTGGTGGTGGGTCAGCGTGACGCCAGCGCTGACGTCACCCACTGACAGCTCCAACGGATGTGTGCCATGTGGCGCGACGGGGACTCTCGGATGGATTTTTTCCAGAAATCCGACGGTCCTCGTTTTTTTGGCTAAAAAAATTGCAAAAAAAATCGAAAAAATTCTGAAATTTTTTTAAAAAAATACCCAAAAATTCTGTATTTTTTCTCTATAAATACCTAACCATTTTATTTACTTTCCACACTAAAATCTTCATACAATTTCTTCTCCATCCCATATTTTTTACTCTTTACTCACATTATTCACTTTCCACACCAATTCTTCATACAAACTTTTCTCCTTCCAATTTTTTTGTTTATCTCCACTCACATTTTTCACTTCCACACCAATTCTCCATACAAACTCTTCTCCTTCCAATATTTTTTACTCTCTTTCTACTACTTTCCATTTGTATAAAAAAAAACGAATGGCATCTTCTATTGAAGTCGGAGGCTCGTGGTCAACGAATGAAGATATTGCGTTGTGTCAATCTTGGGTGAACATTAGTCATGACCCTATCACGGGTAATGAGATGAAGTTTCATCACATGTGGAGCAAAATTCATGGAGAATTTTGTCAAAGATCGGGTTCTATTCGGACCGAAATGGCGTTGTCTAGTAGATGGAAACTTCTTAATAAAGAGTTAGGGAAATGGAGAAATGCCTTGACAAAAGCAAAGGCGAACATTCAAAGCGGTCAAAATTTGACCGATGAGGTAAAATATTTATAATTGCCATTTTAATCAATTCAATGTCACTTTTTTTTTATTGCATATTCTATTTGTTTTTCTTGCATAATTTTTTTTTCTTGGTGCACCTTTAATTTGTCTATATTTTCTTGCATAATCAATTTTATTTTTGCATTTCAAAATAGTTTATATTTTCTTGCATAATAATTTTTGTTTCTTGCACTTCCAATTATTTATTTTTAATAGATGGTACAAGCACAAATGTGGTTCGGTGCCATGGGGCAAGGCAAAAAAAGTTTCGTGCATTTCCAATGTTGGGAAATTGTGAAGGATTGTTCGAGATTCAAAATTATTCCCACCGGTCCGCCGGTTGTGATGAATGAGACGCCACTCCACGATTCAACATCAACCGATTCTCCATTGGACTCCCCAATGGAAACGGAGTCACCATTTGTGCCACGTCCGCCAAGACCTATTGGGAGAAAGGCGGCAAAGGCCAAGAGAGGGGCCACTTCGACCAATGATTGTGTACAATTATTGGAGCAAATAGCTAAGAGCACCTCACTAAGAATCGAGAGAGACTTGAAAAGAGATGAAATGGACATGGCACGAGAGGAAGCATTTGTTCTCCAACAACAAATGGCACAAGAAAAAGACATAGAGGATAGAGAGATGAAAATCATGGCTATGGATACGAGCCATATGTCTCCTGAAACAAAGGCCTATTGGAAGCTACGACGAAGAGATGTGATGAGGAAAAAACTTTTCAATGACGACGGACCTAGCAATACGGATTGGTTAAATGATGAAAACCATTAGGAAGCAATTGAAACACCTTTGCCATATGTTGTATTGTTGTATTGTTGTATTGTTGTATTATCCTTTAATTTATTGTATTGTTGTATTATCCTTTAATTTGTTGTATTGTTGTATTATCCTTTAATTTGTTGTATTGTTGTATTATCCTTTAATTTGTTGTATTGTTTCCTTTTTATTCAATAAAAAAAGCATTAAATAAAAGGGAGTTTCACTAAAACACCCAAAATGGGGGTTGAAATTATAAAAAAACCCAAGCACTATTTAAACATATAAACACACCCAAAACCCATCATTACACACACTCAAAACCCCATTTATAAACACACCCAAAAAGTTGACTTTGGGGTTAATTTTGGGTGTGTTTCTATGTTTAAATAGTGCTTGGGTTTTTTTATAAATACATGTCTAGGATTGGGTTTATTTATAAATTCTATTTATTAAAAACATTTGAGCATCAAGACAAATATTAATTTAAAAAAACCTTCATTGATTGCAAACAACACACAAAACAAACCATACATAAAAGCATAATAATAAAAAGCATAATTCCAAAAAAAAACCACACACAAAATAAAGCATAATTAAAAACAAAGCATAATTCCAAACAAAACCACACACAAAACAAAGCATAATTAAAAACAAAGCACTAATCTTGACTTCATCCATTGTGATTGCCTTTCATCTCCCACAAGTGCTCGATCAATTCACGTTGACGTATCTCGTGAACATATGAAGATTGCATTTCTTGATACGATCAATCATGGGGTTGTTGAATTGACCATCCCGAAGTATGGGTTCGGGCTCCAGTGGTAGTCCATTTGGTCCAATCGGCCTTTCATATATTCTTGTCAACGATGTGTTCATTGGATCGGGTTCAAACACCTCTTCAGCATCATAGTCATACTCATCCTCCACAATCATGTTGTGAAGGATGATGCAAGTCATCATAATACTCCGCAGCACCTCCTCATCTAGCATCCGAGCAGCACCTCTAATAATTGCCCAACGAGCTTGCAAGATACCGAAACACCTCTCCACGTCTTTCCTGTAACCTTCTTGAAAGGAAGCAAAGTTTCTTTCCTTCTCGGATTGGGGATTCGGAATTGTTTTCACGAATGTCGTCCACCTAGGATAAATTCCGTCGGAAAGGTAGTACGCACCAGAGTAAACGGTATTGTTGATTTGGTACGTGACCTGGGGGGAATAACCTCGCAATACCTCATCGAACACTGGGGATTGACCAAGGACATTGAGGTCATTCTGAGAACCGGCAACCCCGAAGAAGGAATGCCAAACCCAACAATCGAATGAAGCTACGGCCTCCAAAATTATACTTTTTTGGCCATTCCGATTCCCGTACTCCCCTTGCCAAGCAGTAGGACAGTTCTTCCACTGCCAGTGCATACAATCGATGCTTCCAATCATTCCTGGGAAACCTCGAGCCTCGCCTTTTTGTAGAAGCCGTTGCAGGTCTCTTGGCGTTGGTTTGCGAAGGTACTCCCTCGTGTACAAATTTTCCACTGCATCACAGAATCTCACCAAGCACTCTAGGACAGTAGATTTTCCCATCCTTGCAATCTCATCCACCTGCTCTGCAGATGCCCCATAAGCAAGCATCCGCAAAGTAGCTGTCAGTTTTTGCTCCGGGATAAGACCTAAAGCTCCAACAGCATCATGCTTTTGAATGAAGTATGTGTCGTAATTACAAATATCATGCATGATTTTTTGGAACAAATGTGGTTGCATTCTATATCTTTCTCGAAACTTAGAAGCAGGATATAACGGATTTGGGATAAAATAATCCTCCATGAGATTCTTACCCCGAGACTCCCTACGTCTGTCCACATTCGGGGCACGAGGACGACGGTGTTGCCTTGATTGATCCATCATACACACCGCTGCTGCAAGCAGTAGTTCCTCTTCTTCATTGGCTTCCCGATCTTCTTGAGCACGTCTACGTCTTGTTTCTTCCCTTTGTTTCTGTTGCCTCTCCAACACCCTCAACAAGTTTGACATTAAGAGTAGAATGTGTTTTCTACAATCTGAGAAATGAAGGAATAGATAAGAGATGGTGTGAGAGGTATGAATATCAGGTCTAGTTTATAGACGGATTTAGAAGATAGAGATGACACGTGGCACAATTTGAGAGGATGAAAATCTTATCTAAAATCTGAGATTATAATTTTTTTAAAATATCTGAAAATGTTATATGACATTTGACACGTGGCACAATTGTAGAGGGTGAAAATCTTATCTGAAATCTGAGATTATAATTTTTTTAAAATATCTGAAAATGTTATCTGACATTTGACACGTGGCACAATTTTAGAAGGAATTTTCTTGGAATAATTTTTATTAAAATCTGAAATACCGAAAATTAACTACGAAACTTTAAATGCCGTTTTGGAAGGTCAAACGACCTCAAAATGCCAAAATCCATCATAAGTCACAGCAAAGCTGTGAGTTTGACTCGTGGCGTCGTTCCCTTTCCGAAATGATATTTTGCGTCATAATCAGAACTCGGACGACAAATCTGCAAATTCCCACTACGTCCTTTTTCTAGCTCAACCGCGATAAAATCTGCCATTTGTTCTACATCAGACATGGCACAATTTTAGAGGGTGAAAATCTTATCCGAAAATTTAATTACAAAAGATTATCAAAATTAATGGTTTAAAACTATAAAAAAATAGAAAATAAAGTACAATGAATAGTAATTGCCTTAGACTTGCCCTAGACTTTGCCCTTGTGGGTGGAACCACAAATGCAAAGGCTGACACTATTCACGTGAATAGTGGCAGCCCTTGCTTGCCCTTGTGGGTGGAGATGCTCTAAAAGTGATTATCCAGAATCATTCCCAAGGCTTCAAAAATAAAAACTGAAACCAAAACAAGGCACTGCCAAACTGCGGATGGAATCTCATTCACGTGCGAAGAAAAAGCAAGGGATATAAAGCCAAAAAAAGATAAATGAGAAAAATGAGGGCCTCAGGTGAAAAAAAAACAGTGAGACGAGGACTTGCCACAGACCACGGTCATAACAGAGTAAACCGTAGGCAGCAAACCCCACCTCTCATTGCGATCGTGTCTGGTCAAGAAAGAAACCCTTCTCGTTCTCGCCCCATAGGGGTTTCTCTTATAGCCTCTTCACACCACCACCAAGCGACATGGGTATGTTTCTCTTCTTTACTACACTCTACACATTGTGCTCGCCTTCTTTTCTTTTGTTTTCCTAGTTACCAAACAGAGTTCAGAGAATGGTGGCTTTAAAATATGTGAACTTTTCTAGAAATGGAGCAGTAATATACTAATCATTCAGTTAGAGAGTTTTTGGGCATTTCAAAGCCTTTTCTTTTAGCCATTGACAAAGGTTAAGTGATAAAAAAAAAACTGATTTAATGTGTGTATATGTGTATATGGGAGACACACTTGTCGGTTGCCTAGAATCTTGGTAACAGGTATGACCCACATTTCAGACTAATTTTCTTTGAATTTCCTTGGATATGGGTAAATAAAATTTTATCAGTAGAGGATCTTCCTTGTAAAAAGGTTAAATTAAATTCTATTGGGAAGTGGGAGCAATTTAGAGTTTAGAGTTTGCTAGTGGCCTTTGGGTCACATGCTATCTTCTCTCCTCATATCTATGGAGATGTAGGATGAGTTGGTGGGTTTAATGCTAATAATTCACCAAGAAAAATAGAGGAAAAAGAGAAGGATGTGACTGACTTTCTAGTATTATCTTTAGGTCAACAGAAATGAAGGTCAAGTGAATGTAAAAATAGGCAAGGGCATGTAGGGAAATTCCATAGTTTATGATATTTTTTATTGAGTCATAGGACATGTAAAAATTAGCATAATTGATATTGTGCTAAAACATAGTTGCACTTCTTGAAATGGAAAGAAGCTCTCCTGGAGCTGGATGAAATTTACCCCAGTCCCACCTTTCATCTGCAAGAATACATTTTTAATTGTATGGTGGCTCAGGGGCTCATATTTAAAACAAATGGGCAATTAAATAATGTGTTTCTTCTACTAGGCCTATATGGGATTTCTAACCAAATTCGGTTTCATTGAGGAGTTCAATTTCTGTCAAATATGGATCAGTTTTGGCTTTTTGGTATATATAAGGAGCATGTGATTTTTTATTTTCTGTACTATGTTCCAAAAAAGATTTCTTTACCACTTCCAACGAGCATCTTCAGCTGGTTAGTTCTATAGGTTTTTTCTGTGCAGTGACTGTGTCCTGCAGGGGTTGCCATTCTTACCTTTAATATAGTAAAAGACTTTTGGCATAAGAATCTGGTTTACGACCATTTGATGCATATGTTGTCCTTTCTTGGTTAGACTATAATATGATTTCCCTACAGAAAAGGTGCTTTATGTCTAAAGGAAGTTTGATATCTCTAATTACTGAAGGTTTAGGTTGATCATGGTGAATCTGTGCTTCTTCCATTTTAACCAGCACTTTTGGGATTGAATGCAAATCTAGAACACGGTTGATCTTATTTTCTCCATAATGTTTATGATATTCATTGTGTCTTTGTAATCAGGTTGCTCTTTGCAATTTTGGATTGAAGTAAATTAATATTTTGTAGTGAATGTATGCAATTGATGCTCCTTTTAGAAACCTTTCTGTCCTTTAAATGCTTCCAGTTTATATCTTCTACTTAATATGCTTCATTGGTATCTACGAAAACTAAACTAGAACATTTGCCCAACTAAGCCTGATCTATTACTAGGTTTTCTCATATAATTTCCATTTCTTTGCTCAATTGAAAATAAATGAAGCAATTGCAAAAGTGGAGTTGAAGTTGTTAGTTGGCCCACGAACCTTAGCTGAAGTGGTAAGGGGTGGATGGGGGTGAGGGTAGAGATCCTAGGTTCAAACCTCCCTGTAATAAAACAATTTTGTTCTTTGAATGTCTTATTTTATTTTTCAAATCAGGAAATTACAAACATAATCATGGTATTGGATCTGAAAGGATGTCTCCAGCAACAAAGCCTCATGGAAGGGATGATTGGGATATAGAGTTTCAGATTCACCGTATGGAAGCAAAGGCATACCATGCTGTGTTGAGGGCTTTTAGTGCTCAATCGAACAATCTAACTTGGGTAAAGTTTTAAATGTTAACCTCTTTTTTGGCACTTACGGATTTCATATCATGTTGCTTCCTATTTGTCTCTACAGATTATTTTTATTTCCTTGTGTTATTGTGAATTGTTTTCTTTCCATTTTTGTGTTATCTCAATGTCCAAAAAGCCTTTTATTATATAGGGACGAGAGGCACTTATGACTGAGCTGCGGAAGGAACTTAATATTTCAGATGATGAACATGGAGTTCTGCTCACGAAGATTAAGTCAGATGAGGCAATAAAAGTGATAAGGTCCTCATAATTTGTTCCCGTTGAGTCATACAATAATACATCTTTTGTGATTGTTATGATAACTTGGCTGTGGAAAATCTTATTCAGTTTTTTTCTTTTCACTTTTTTGGTGTATTTTATGCAGGGAATGGCGGAATGATGCCCATTGTGCTCAAGAGTGTGGTAAGGCTGCTCCTAGATATCCTTCTAAACTAGTGAGCAATGCTCAACAGAGAGAAGCGGAGACTCAACATCCTCCTGTTTCAAAGTCTCAGAAATATTCCTCATGCAGTCAGCCTTGTGCAGAAGTTATCCCTTCTACTGCTGCACCAGTAAGTAGAAAATTTCCAAGCTGAAGATTGTTTATTGTCATTACATTTATTTTATATCGCATTCTTTCTACATCCTATGGAAGGATATTTGGTCTTAGTAATCTCTTTAATAAATATCACAGGATGCCCAAATCAAAGACATTGGTGGAATTAGAGTGAAACTTGGAAGAAACTTTGTGACTCAAGGAAACAGCCCTTTTTTGAACTTGAAGGCATGTATTTATTTAACTGTGACGATGCTACTTGATCTAGTGTTAGTCTTGAAATTTGCATCTTTCTCTGTCTCTGTCTCTGTCTCTCTCTGTCTCTGTCTCTGTCTCTCTCTCTGTCTCTGTCTCTCTCTCTCTCTCTCTCTCTCTCTCTCTCTCTCTCTCTCTCTCTCTCTCACTAGTCACTCTCCCATACACACTCAGAGGCTGTCTCTTGGGAACAAATATGAGCTCTCTTCTGCTAGAAGCAAACATTTAAGTCCATATAAGTCTCTCTTGTTGGAGTTGTGGTTGCAAGAGAAGGCGGACATTTCATTTTAGAAGGTAGTGAATGGGCTTACCTTTGAGTATTCATATCCCTAGTGGTGTATTATAACTTATAAGTTGCTATAAATTTGTAAACTGTATTGGCAAGTCAGATGGACGAGTCTTATTGTCAACTTGATCCTCTCCCTTTAAATTACTTTTCTTGTTGACAATAACAATTGTATAAATGGTTTTCTTGATGTCTTTTGTGTTTGCATGGGTAAAGAAAACTGTACAGTTTGATTCAGTGTCCACTTGTTAATGTTATTCCGTGGATTTACAACAAAATAAATGATGCCTTAAAGCTGCTGTCATTGGATAATGATGTTGGCTTAGAGAAGCTCAAGGAATTATAAGATTAAAATCAAAATGCATTTTTGTGGGTTATGTGGATTTAAGGCATAGATCTAACTTGATGCGGTACATTGAGTGGTCAATGCATTACTAACGCGCATCCTAACAACAAAACTTTTCACAGCTTTTCCTTATCACTCTTGCTTATTCACGGTCCTTTTGGGGAGCTTTCTATACTGTCCTTACATTTATCTTTGAGGAGTTTTAGATTTATTTCTTTACTTCTTCAGCTACAATCTACATTAACCTCTGGTTCTACTGGATTATACCAAACTAGTATGTAATCGGGACAATATTACCTTAATTATATGTCATATTTGCTGATTCTAAGACCTACTTCAACCTCACTTATCCTGTACCAAGGACAGGTTCAGTTTATCTTTGTTTAGTTTCAGATTTATGTTTGTTTCCTATAACTTCCTTTAAATGATTATACTAAAATCACATGCTTTGAACTCAAGTTTCTTAAAATACTTATACAGTACCAAGGAGAACTTAGCAAGGATCAAGGGAGTGGTGACTTGGCAATGCTCTCATCTAGGAATGGTAGACAGTCTATGCATATGATTGGTCGTAACCCTCAGGCACCATATGGTAGCAGAAGTACTGGACTGGTAAAATCCCAATTGAAGATGGGCTTTCACCCAACTGGCTCTGACAATTTAAACAAAAGTTCTGATTTGATTAAGATACGTGCTACAGATAAAGTCCTTTATGAGGTGAGCCAAAAGTTGTGTTCATATTTTTTCATTACATAGTTATTTGTTTTTTGCAATGTTTTCACGAGTTAACTTGGATATTTATTTTTAAACTGGATTCGGGTGCTGATTTTAGAGGGGAAGTTTAAAATACAACTCTTGATGCAGATATATGAAATGAAGTATTGATGGTTTACAGTACTTGATGTTGGTAACCATTGGAATCCCAAATTATCTACAGTAATGGGAGTTTTATAAATATGGCTAAGCCATGTTTGAAGAATCTTTACCTTTTTAAAAACATGAGTTGGAATTAATGGAGATTAGTGAGTAGGCTAAAGTAAAATTGTATGTTATAATGGGATTCTTCCAACATTTTAGCAAACTTTGATTGGATGAACCTTGATATAGGGTTTGTAGCTGTTTATAGTTTTGTTAAATGAAAGAAACAGAATAATTCTATTAAGATGTCATAAATACAAGTACAACAACAACAGGATCAGTCCACCAATGTACAGATAGAATCTTCAAGACTCAATTAGCAAACAGCCTCAGATACAAGTAGAACAACAATGTATGATGCCCAATGGACTTTTCCAAAAGAACTCGATCTCCTCCTCGCAGATATTTTTCCAAAGAAATATGATCTTTGAATAAATTATAAAAATATCAGTATGTAATTGCCAACAAAAGAAATTTTGGTTGGACATCTGAATAATTTCCATTGACACAATTAGTTCTGAAGGGTTCTTTGCCGCTTTATCTGTACGAGGTAATTGATTTTTTGTTTGTCCCGATCATATTGGGAAATATGAATTCTTAGGTCATTAAGAATTCTGTTGTACATAACAAATCACATCAGTAAAAGTTTTATTTTTTGTCTTTTCCTTATGTGGCATCTCCTACTCTTGAGACTCTGTCTTTTGTAGTTCTGGACTCTGTCCGTAGTTGCTGATCCTTTCAGCATGCTTTTGTGTATGCTCAACATATAAAGATGTTCTCACCTGCGACCTTGAAAGGTGGTTAGTTCAGGATACAAAAAGGATATGATTGAAAATTCTATTATTATAGAAACCTTGTTGTATACCCCGAAAGTGCTGCTTGTCGTGTGTTTGCTTATGTTGCATGTTTCGCTTTTGGCAGGTTGAGAAGCTATTTGATTGTCAAGAAAGCCTAGTCCCACTTCATGTTGAGAAGGCAAAGTTAATCCTTAAAGTAATTTCTATACCCCATCCTGCAGCAGTGCAGATGGTACCATTTTGTTTAAACTTAATTATCTGGCCAATTAGAACTCAACTATGATTTTTAAGCCCTATAAAAAAAAGTAACACTATAAACAGCCCAAATTTTGTTTTGGTTTAGGAGCATGAAAGAGCTATCCTTGAAGCACTTGGCAAACTGCCTGATGTGTCAGATGTGGGTAAGGACTTCTTTCTTCAATCCTCTCTGCTCTCTCTGACTTCTGATTTCTGAAATATGAATATTGGCAAGTGCTTGATTTTGCAGATGATTCTCCCAAGCAAATCTGGCATAAGTATCCTCATGAACAGCTTCCAGTAACGGGAGGCAAAATGTTGATACGCAATGACTTCTATGGATAGGCCACTAGGTTGACATACTGAGGGTTTATGTTCTATTGAAACACACGTGGTTAGGACTTCCTTTCATTGGCATTCAAGATGATGAAGCTGCCACTTAATTTGACCTGGTATTCTTGGAGATTTGAAGTCATGTATATATAACTGTCTACCATATGGTCCAAGGCCATCCCACGCCATAGCTTCCCATGGTGATCACTAAGAATGGATGTTAGCTTTTGTTTCTTTATGAACAGAAACGCTTGAGACAGATTTTCTGAGCAAATAGTTTTTCTTGGCACAAAAATGTTGGTAAAAATCAACTGGTTTATTTTACTGAAAAGTTATCCCAATTTCAAAAAAATGTTCAGTTGCCCACATTCTGAGCAGTGCTCATATTCTTTTGGTTGTAGCATGTGGATGTTTTGTTTTGCACCCTCTCTCTCTCTCCACCTTTTTTTTTCTTGCTGCTAGGAAATTTCGTTTTCTGGAACTTGTTTCGGGTACATAAGAGATTTAATTGGGATTTCAAATCAGAGGACGAAAACTGTATCAGAATTCCAAATAACATTATGGGTTTGAGATTTTAACAAATGAAGGTGCCTCTTACTAAACCAACCCACGTTACTGATGTATCATGTGTCATTTTTTCTAGTATAGCTGAAGGCTTGTTATAAATAAATAAAAAAGAGAAAGAAAATAATAACACCGCACGTTACCTCTCCAAAAGATAACAGATTCCCCTCCAGAAGTTCTAAAAATAATGGACTTCAATTAATATCTACATCCTCAGCCACACTTCCTCTACAAGCTCTTGTGCGTGAAGTTTTGAATGGCAAGCTCAACTTCCATACTTCAACCCAAGAAACTCTCTCTTTTAATCCTCAACATATCCTTTCTCTTCCTCTTGTGTCTCTCTCTCATCACGACACATCTCCATTCTCTCTCTCATCACAGCTCAGGCTTACTGGGCCAATCCAATAATACAAATCTCAGTGAGATCAAACTAGTTGATGGCTGCACAAATCTCCATGAACACACAGATTATGAAACCAAGTGCTTGTATGTCAAAACACAAACAGGTTGCAGGCCTAAAGGGTACATCAATTATCTCCAAATATTTTACTGCAATCTTGGCAAGTTTCCAGTTCTAGGCCATGCTGCAATTCTACTTTGGCTTTTTGTTTTATTCTATCTGTTGGGAAACACAGCTGCTAATTATTTCTGTTCCTCCTTAGAGAGCTTGTCCAAAATCTTGAAGCTCTCTCCTACCATAGCCGGAGTCACCCTCCTCTCCCTCGGAAACGGGGCCTCCGATGTCTTTTCGAGCATCGTTTCTTTCACGAGATCCGGTGATGGTGATGTTGGCCTCAACAGTGTGCTAGGGGGTTCCTTCTTTGTGTCCAGCATTGTGGTAGGAGTTATTAGCATACTAATTAGCCCTCAACAGATTTCAGTTGATGAGGCCAGCTTTGTTAGAGATGTGATCTTCTTCTTATTCTCTCTCTCATCTCTTCTTGCAATCATTGTTATTGGAAGGATCAACTTGTGGGGTGCCATTTCTTTTCTTGCTATTTACTTTGTTTATGTTGGCACAGTCTCAGCCACTCAATTATACAAAAGGAAAAACAGAGAATTGTTAGGGGACAGGTTTTCAACATCTCTTGCTGCTTCAAAGAATTTACCAGTGCTACAAAGCTTTGATGACTTAGGAGATAGTACTAGTACACCATTACTAGGCTATGTTGATGAGGATAAACCTATTTTCGACGCGAATTCGAAAGCCAGTCTTGATGTTCATCAAGAACAAAATTCTGGGTTTTCTTATTTGGGAACATTGATTTATATCTTGGAGTTACCTCTCTACTTGCCTAGAAGATTGACCATACCTGTTGTGAGTGAAGAAAGATGGTCCAAGCCATATGCAGTTATTTCTGTAACTTTGGCACCAGTTTTGCTGGCTGCCCTTTGTAACACACAGAGGGAGAATCAGAGCTCAAGAGGTAAATTAGTAACATACATGACAGCAGGGCTGATTGGGTTGGTTTTGGGCAATCTTGCATATGTGACCACAAAAAATTGCGGCCCACCAAAGAAGTGCTTGTTCCCTTGGCTTGTTGGTGGGTTTTTTATGAGTGTAGCTTGGACTTATATTATTGCTGAAGAATTGGTCTGTTTGTTAGAATCATATGGGAATATACTGGGGATTAGCCCTTCAATTCTAGGACTTACTGTCCTAGCTTGGGGTAACTCCCTTAATGATTTGATAGCTAATGTTGCTATGGCAGTGAATGGTGGGCCAGATGGGGCCCAGATTGCTATTTCGGGCTGTTATGCGGGTCCCATGTTTAACACATTGGTGGGAGTGGGTATCTCACTGGTTTTCTCATCTTGGTCTGAGTATCCATCCTCCTATGTCATTCCCATTGACCATTCTCTCTATGAAACGATAGCGTTTTTGATGGGTGGCTTGCTGTGGGCCCTCGTGATTTTGCCCAAGAAGGATATGAAGCTGGATCGTTATATGGGGATTGGCCTTGTGGCAATTTACTTGTGTTTTCTGTTTCTCAGGATGGCCATGCTCTTGGTCTTTTGAATTTTAATTTCGTGTCTCATTCAAAATGGGTCATTGTCGCAAGTTTTTAGTACCTTCCATTATCAATATACATACATTTTAGTTAAATAGTATCCTTTTGTCTAGTTATTTTGATGTCGAGTTAGTACTTCAATTTTGTTATAATTTTCTTCTTTTTCTTTTTATGAACGGGAGATGAATTCGAACTTGGAACCTTTTTAAGCATTAAATAATGAAATATCATTAGACCAATAGTTAGTTCGTATAACCTGGCACGATCGCTACCCACCCGTGTATAAGAATACACCGATCACACTGTCAATTAAGCATATATATGTATATAAGACCTATTCAATACCATCATCTACTCCCCAATATAAAAGGTGTTAGAAATTTGGTTCAGACCAAATGGTTTTTAGTCAACTATGAGACACAGATTGAATGGGTCCCGCATAAGCTGATTGGATTGGGGATAGTTCAAAGTAACAAAGGAATTCTCTAATAAATTTGTGAAATGGATCTCAATCCTGCCTTAAAAATAGCTAAGTTGAAGGCTAGACGCAAGCTTGGTATAGGGCCATGGATAAGTAAAATAGTTCTTTATCAAGAGGGGAGGGTTTAGAGACTTGAATATTTAAGGGTGACAGAGGGAAAGTACATATATAGAATTAAGACGAATAGACCTACCCAACAGTTAGCTTAAATATGCCTAAAAATTAGATGTACAATTCCTAACATCATAAAATATTATGTGAGATCATAAGGAACTTATAGTTCAAATAATTAAGAATAATTATCTCTGCATCCGATATCCTGTATTCAAATCACCACTCTCCTAATATCATGGTTAAGCATGATAGACTCTTTCCCAAGACATGTTAAAAGGATTTTTAGCACACACACATGGTCCAAAAGCTAGTAATAACATGTCTTTTTAGGACACCCACTTGGTCCAAAAGCTTTTAATGCATGGACTTGGACTGGACGTCCATTTCTTTCACGTGGTCTAAAAGTACTTATGTGGTCCGTAGAGAGCCCATGGACACGGTGAGTTCGCCAACCTGTTGGAGAGACAAGTAGCGTTCCAAATATCGCACGGGTCCAACCAAAGGTCGACTAGGATGTGTGTTGTATTTTAATCTTGATCCTCTTTGGTGAGGTCTGTGCCACAAATAATTCTACTTGTACAGACCGCTTGTCGAGCACTCGCATGAAACATGTGGATTAATAGACTCTAAATTAGTAATTTTGTATCCAAATTATTATTCATAGAGAAGTGTAACCTTACATATTGGGAGAAGGGGTGCCAAATGAATTGGGTCAGTCCCAGTACAACACGAGCATGGTCCATTTAATTACCTCATTCCGGTAATTAGGTCTAATAGGTCGGGTCGGCTCGTAACCCATTGCGGGCCGTGCCAGCCTAAAATCCAACAGGTTGGCCCGTTTAAAGCCCATTTATTAAATTATACTTGTTTCAGAAAAAAATAATACATAATATTATAATATTTATATCTTAAATTTAAGTCTATTTCTTTTCTCTAATATATATTAAATTTAATGTTTTCTTTATATATAAAATAATGATTTTGTTTTTCAAGTTTCAAATTTTAAAACCCAAATAATAATCTAGCCATTTTCTATATAAATGTACTTTAAATAAAGTTATTGACCTCTTTTTTTAACAAATGATAAATTTTATTAGTACATACATAATTGTAAAAAGATTTAAATGATGTTGTAAAAAAATGACAAAAACAATGAAATATATAAGTTAAATTTAGCGTGAGCCCATATCGGCCTGTTTAGTGGCCAGGCACGAGCACGGGCAGAGCTCATGGGCTCAGGCCGGGATGATTTTTCTAAATGAGCGGGCCCGACACGACCCATTTATTAAATGGGCCGACTCTAAACGGGCCAGCCGGGGCCAACACAGTGCTCTAATTGGGAGTGAGAATTGTCATTCCTAAACAGCTTCTAGAAACTTATTCTCTAATTAATTTAGCATTATTGTGGCAGTAAATAAATTTATCCACCAAAATTATTCATTATAACGATAATTATTGTTGGACGCGTATGACATTTCGCCTATAAACTCAAAAGAAAACACATAAGTAATTTTAAGGGTCATTGACAAATAAGAAAAAAAATAGTGTGTCAATTGAGTAAAATAAAAGTTCTTGGTCCATTTTTATTGTCGTTACACTATATTTTCAAGCAAGTTTGAGCTAGTTTTTTAGCAAGATTAGGGTTTTACATAGGGGCAAGAGGGGTCAATTGACCCTTGCAAACCCAGAATCAACCATAGGAGCTGAAGAACTTGCCCCAAAAAGGAAGCAGCCACAGCACACACAGGCAGCAAGCAGCTTGCCGCGCGCGCATCAGTCAGCAGCCTAGTGCCTTTTTCTTCTCCCTACGTCAAAATGATGTTGTTCTACTTACGAATTTTTTTATTATTTTAAATATTTATATATAAAAAAAACCTAGCCAAAACGATGTCGTTTTGGCTTAGTTGTTTTAAAAAAAATTAAAACGTATGCAGTGGCTCTACTGCCTGATAAAACAGATTTGGGGGATGGGTTTTTAACTCAATGCTCTCATTCAAACCCTAAATCCCCAACCCCAATCCAGTCCCTAGACCCAACCTTCACCCAATCCAATCCGACGGCCTCCCCATGTGAATCTCCCTTTGACGCTAGCAAACCCCAAATTCATTGTGGTTTGAAATTTGGTCTCAAAATTGAAAGTATGTTATCATATTCCCAATCTTTTTATGATTTGATTTGATGAGATTAATTAATATGTTGATTAGTTTGAATGAATTAGAGTTTTTAATTAATTAAAATATGTTAGTTTGTATGTCTAATATGATGGGTTTTATATTTTTCCTCATATTGAAAGTATGTTATCCTAATTTCTAATCTCTTTATTATGCTTTAATTGATTAATAAAGATTCTTGTAATTTTTGTTCTTTTTGATTAGTTGTTGTTGTTGATTGCATTTGTTAGAAATTTTTGATTATATTGTTTTTTTGTGTGTTTGTTAATTAATGGAGATTCTTATATAAATTGGTTTAATTTATTAGTTGTTGTTGTTGACTGAATAAATTGAATTATTTTTGTGTTTGTTAATTAATGAAGATTCTTATATATTTTGGTTAGTTAGAATAAATGTCGACAATTTGGATTATTAATTAGTTCGTATTTTTTTTTAATAGAAAGTTATGGAGCCATACTTTAAGAGAAAGTTCTCATAAACTACTTATAGTTCAAATAATGTGGGTAGTTCGAACTCAAGAGATGTGGGTAGTTCGAAAGAAAATAAGTTGCAAGATTTTATGAATAATCTTCATGCAGACCCTGGACTTCAACCTTAAATGTTGGATTATGATCTTAACATTCAAGACGAAGTCCAAAGAACATATCTACAAAAGGTCCCTGTCAACCTAAGAATCACACATTTCCACAAATCAATCTTTCAGGGTATGATCGACGCTTTAATGTCAAGTGGTTTGGTGAGTTTGACTGGTTGGAGTATAGTATAAGTAAAGATGCTGCATTTTGCTTTAATTGTTATCTCTTCAAATCCAATTTCAAAATTGGTCAAGGGTGTATTGATGCTTTCATAGAGATGAGTTTTAGAAATTGGAAGAAGAAAGAAAGAATTAGGAATCATATTGGAGGTGTTGGAAGTGTTCATAATCAATCTAGACAATATTGTTTAGATCTTATGAATCATAAGCAACACATCCAAACAGTTTTGGGCAAACACCCATAACAAGCTCATATTGATTATCGTATTTGCTTGACAGCTACTCTTGATTGTGTGAGATTTTTGTTGAAGCAAGGTCTTGCTTTTCGTGGCCATGATGAGAGTGGCACTTCAAACAACAAGGGGAATTATTTGGAGCTCTTACAATTTCTTGCTGATCATGATGAGAAAGTGAAGGTCGTTGTGTTAGAAAATGCTCTAGGGAATCTCAAGCTCATAGCTCCAACAATTCAAAAAGATCTTGTTAATGCTTGTGTCACTGAAACTATTAAGAAAATCATTATGGATATGGATGGTGCATTCGTTTCTTTATTAGTTGATGAATCACCTGATGTGTCAATAAAAGAACAGATGGCAGTGGTGTTTCGTTATGTTGACAAAAGGGGGGGATATAATTGAAGGTTTGTGGGCATTCAACATGTTAGCGACACTACATCAAACTCACTAAAGGAGGCTATTGACAAATTGTTTTCAAGAGAGGAATTAAGCATTTCTATGCTAAGAGGACAAGGATATGATGGAGCTAGTAATATGAAGGGTGAGTTCAATGGTCTTAAAACACAGATTTTAAGAGAAAATCTGTGTGCCTATTATATTCATTGTTTTGCATATCAACTTCAATTAGCTCTTGTGGTGTGACAAAGGGAAATGCTGATATTGCCACTTTCATCACATCATGCAATAGCTTTGTTAATATTGTTGGAGCATCGTGTAAGCGTCGTAACATGCTTAGGGATCAACTACAAAAGGATATTACGGAAGCTCTTGAAAAAGATAATCTTCCAAAAGGGCAAGGCTTAAATCAAGAAACTTGTCTCAAGCGACCCAGTGATACACGTTGGAACTCACATTATGGTACATTACTTAGAATCATTTCCATGTTCAAATATGTGGTGAAAGTGCTTAAATTGATTATTGAGGATGACTCCACTAATAATATAGGTGAAGCAAATAGGTCATTGAGAGAAATACAATCTTTTGAGTTTGTATTTTACATATTTTTCATGAGATCTATATTGGGAGCCACCAATGATTTGTCACAAGTATTACAGAAGAATGACCAAGACATTGGGAATGTAATGACTTTAGTTAAAGATTGCAAGGACCAACTACAACACATGAGAGAGAATGCATTTGAAGCTTTGCTTGATCAAATATATTCCTTTTGTGGAAAACATGATATCGAGGTTCCAAACATAGATGATGCACATGTAACTCAATGGAGATCGTGGAGAACTCCTAGAATAACACACCTCCATCATTATCGTGTGGACATCTTTATTCAAATCATTGAGTGACAACTTGCAGAATTAAATCATCGCTTCAGTGAGGTAAATACTGAGTTGCTTCTTTGTTTGGCATATTTGAGTCGGGATGATTCATTCATAGCTTTTGACACACCAAAGCTACTTTGTTTTGCTGAATTTTATCATCAAGATTTTACTCCCCGAGACTTCTTGAAACTTGAAGATCAACTTGGGATTTATATTCATCATATGCGTACAAGGAGTGATTTTTCTCAATTGAAAGGGATTGGTAGCCTTGCAAGAAAAATAGTGGAGAAAGGATTACATATAACATTTACTTACGTTTATTTGCTTCTCACATTAGACTTAACTTTACCGGTTGCAACAGTTTCTGTGGAGAAAGCATTTTCTGCGATGAATATTGTGAAAGGTCCACTTCGCAACTGAATGGGAGATCAATGGTTGAGTGATAACTTACTTCTTTATATTAAGAAAGATATGTTTGTTTGTATTGATAATGAAATTATAATGCAACGTTTTCAGAATATGAAAACTCGTCGTGGACAATTGTAATGTGGTTTTTTCTATTAATTACGAATTATAATATTTTCGTTTCATTTTTTTGGTCAATTTTGTATAGAATTTTTTTTAACCTTTTAGACGTTGACCCCTGCAAGGAAAATTCCTGCATCCGCCATTGGTTGCCCACCCTCTTTTGGGTGCACCCGACTATCAGGACTAGCTTATTATTGTACAAACTCCTTTTTTTTATACTTGAATAAGAATTCATTTCATATTGTTAAATAAATTAAGTATTCTATTTTTCCATAGAGATTCCAATGTATCTTAGTATTTAATTTTATGCTCATCTAATAAATTTATCACATATATTACTCCATCATAACCAATTATGAACATAAATAACTAAGGCTACACCAAGACTACCTGATTTGGGGCAAGTGGGGCGATAACCAAGAGCTTACAAAGTAGCGTGCAAAAAGTAGTTGTTTCTAGTATATGTTGGTTCTTTCGTTTTGCAACACCATTTTGTTGTGAAATTTGAGGACGTGTAGTATCATGAAAAATTTCACTAGTAATCCGCATATCATTTATAGCCAAGTCCATAATTGATGGTATCCTTATTGAGGATCTCTTGTAAAAGGGAGTAGGTAGAGTAGAAAGTTACAAAGCATAAATCCTTTTTTTTTTAATAAAAAGTTTGGAAGGGGGAGAGGAAGATTCTATTGGGGTTTGAACCTAAGACAGCTGATCTGCAAACAAATGCTATTACCACTAAGCTATGGACTCGTTGGCAGTTACAAAGTAATTTAACTTGTCAGAAATATAGCTAACATAAAGTAAATTATGAGCAAGATATGGTACACATAAGTTAAATTTGAGAGATAATTGTTGCAGAATATAAATCCCACATTGGAAACCTGATTAAATGAATGGTTCCACAATTAATATCATCGAGACTTTTTGTATAAAACTCTACACTTGCTAAATATGTGGTTAAGTTGGGAACAATATCAATATTACCAGTAGTGGACCAAGAATTCGTCCCTCTAAAATTTAACAATAATGAGGTCAGACAACACCTACCTAAGTCACGGGATGATGAGTACCATTAGCATTTGCAAATTGCAACAACAATCCTCTTAGGTAGAAATACTCAAAGGAAAGTCATACGAGGTAGAAATTACCAGTGTCAAAAGTCATATAAGTCACACCAAATTCAAAGCAGAAATTGAAGTAGAAATACTCAAAGCAAAGCAAAGATTACCTAAGTAGGGTCTAGAGATGTAGTTCACAATTGTAGATAAACTACATATCACCCACCATCTGCAAGGTAACAAAGGGTACGAGTAGGTAAAGCATCGGTGGATCCAAAAAACCTTATCGTCGCCACTTGCCATCTTGGTTGGTGTGTGGCTATGAGGTAAGAAAAACTTATATAAGGTTATGGTTTAAATGTTGGGTTGAGGTGAATGTAGTCTAAGGTGGAGGATCAATCGCTTTAATACCATGTTTAGATTATAGAAATGAATTAACATTCTATTACTTCCAACATCGATATTGTCCTAAACTAAACCATCAACATAGTCCACAAGATATAATGTTTTATCACAAAATGCTTCAATGTTATTAGTAGTGAAATCACTCACTTATATGTTTTATTTTATCAAGTCTTCAACATCGAATTTCACTTTCTTTGACAAATGATCCAATTTAAATCAATTTTAGACACTGTATGTGGCCTAAGGATTTTAGCAAGCTTTCTATTTTTTTTAAAAAAATCATGGTAAAAGGGTTTGGGTGTATGTCAACTTTTAATCAAGATGAGAAAATTAAAAGTTATGCAGTAGTAGTTGTCTCTAGTTATTGATGCCTGAACGAACTCCTTGTCTCCAGTGGGGGCGGCAGATGGGTGGTGGTGGAGGTGGCAATGGTAGTGGTGGTGCTAGGGGGGTGGCGGCGATGGCTGTAATGGTGGTAGAGACGAAGATACAGTGGTGGTGGTGGCGGCGACGACAACAGCTATGGTGATAGTCATGATAAAATGGTGGGAGTAGAAGTGGTGAAATCATATCTTGTGAATAAAAATAATATATCTATGAAAATCTCTTGGGGAAACAAAGATTTGTCATGGCCTAAAAATAGTCTATTATTAAATGAAATCCACCACTTTTTGTATTTCCCTTAAAATCAATGAGTTTTTTTAATACACCCAAACTTTTATAAATTCTTTTAAAGTCGTGATTGAATACATCTAAATTTGAATGGAATTTAAAAAGTCTAAATTGAATACACTCAGAATTGAATAGACTTTTATAAAATCATGATTGAATATACCTAAACTTTTAAACTTATTTAAAATCTTTTAAAATCTAAATTGAATATACCCCCCTAAAATGTCATATTGCTATATATTTCAGTGTTAAAGCTTGTCAAGGTCTACAAAAATTATACGTTCCACTCATCTCATATTCCCAATATATAGATTAAAATTGTTTTGGCATGTTGCCATTTGTAGGACCTATAATGAGATAAAATTGGACAAAATGAAGCTCTTGTTGTGGAGGAGAACCATTCAGCATCGCTTGGTAAAGTGACAAGTTTGAATTGACTTCAACTAGGATCATGAAATGTATCATCCTCCACCAAAAGAATTGACTACTAGCCCTTTACATTTAATAAAATTATGATAAATACAGAAGAAAGTGAGTCTCTCTACTTGTCATATCTGAAGGAAGTTGAGGTTCCACTCCCTAACCAATTGACAATGGGGGGAGTAGCTCAACTCCTTATAAGCCCTTGTTAGGTTTCTCAACTTTCCAATGTGAGACTTTTTACCTTCACATTCTCATATGTGAGCTAACCCGCTCTGATACCATGAAGGAAGTTGAGGTTCCACCCCAAAACTAATTGGCAATGGGGGGAGTAGCTCAACTCCTTATAAGCCCTTGCTAGGTTTCTCAACTTTCCAATGTGGGACTTTTTACCTTCACATTCTCACAATCTTGTTACTTTTTATCTCAATTACTAGATGTGTAAAACGGGCCGTACTAGGCCTGCCTATTTATGAAAATCATCAATCCCGGCTTGAGTTCATAGTCCTAGCTCATATGGGCTTCGGCTGTGCTTGAGTTTATAATTTTTTTTACAACTTCATTTAAATATTTTTTACAATGATGTTTATACAAACAAGGTTTATTATTTGTTGAAAAAAGAGGTCAATAACTTTATTTAAAGTACATTTAAATAGAAAATAAATAGATTATTATTTGTATATTTAAAAATTGAAACTTGAAAAACAAAATCATTATTTTATATATAAAGAAAATATTAAATTTTAATACATATTATTAGAGAAAAGAAATAAACTTGAATTTAAGATATAAATGTAATAATATTATGATTATTTTTCTCTAAAATAAATATAATTTATTAAATGAGCTTTAAATAGGTCATAAAGACTGGACTCATTAGACCTAATTACCTCGTCCCAACTTGCCTAAAAATACAGACCGCATTGTATTGAACCTTACTTTAACGTGCCATGCCAGGCTTTACTTTAACGGGCCGTGCTCGAGCCGACCTGGTCCGTGAGACATCTCTATCAATTACTCATATTTCTCTGTCAAAGTTTGGCGTAGCCTTAAAAGATAGGAAGTAAATGACATTCAAACATGGACCCTTGATTTGTACACTACACATCATGTCCATGTTGTCTTTTAGCCAATAATAATTTGTCCAATTTATTATGAGGTGTCCCCTTCTTTACTCTCTCCAAACCTCAATCTTGTTTTGGACTTTATCTTTTTCCCATTCTTGTTTCTTTTAATCTATTAAGCCTTTGTCTTCGTGTAAATTATGATGGCAAGAAATGAACCAAAATACAATTGTATGATAGAGGGCTCCTGTGCATATTGGCTGGCTTGTGGCCCAGAAGAGTACTGTATACAGTAATAGTATCATGCCAAAGGATGATACGGCAGAATAAAAATCTCATGTCATGCAAAACAGTGAGCTCCAGGCAAACCAATCATAATGTGTGATACATTGTGATTGCATACATGGTTATGCACAGTTCCAAAAAATAAAAAACTAAAAACAACACATGATGGGTACAAATTGAACAATTCAAATCATTAGATGACATTCTAGAGTGAGCTCAAATGAGTGGTTAACGGCATATTAATTACTAACCGGTTAGCACTTGAGTGGTCCTTAATGGGGCAAAACCCAACGATACGTGGTGAAACGGGAATTTAAACCTTGCTTCAATGTAAGTAGATGCTCTTAATCATTAGAGCTAGAAGGTCTAAGAAACCAAGATTGAAATACAAATAAGCTATTGTATTCTATTGGAGCAAAAACTATTAAAATCAACTGTCGAGCTTGCAAAAGGCTATTACATAATATGTTAAGAGAAAAACAAAGCAGGAGTTATTTATCAAATCCTTGAATACACAAAATAACAATAGCGACTTGGTTCAACCACCTCTTTACCAATACACAAAGGAGGTTATATATATTGTGTAAGAACAAGCTATTCTCTGTCTTCAGACAGACTTACAACTCAAACCTGCAATTACCAAATCTCTTTGGAAAATCATACCTTGGTGCAAAGGCATGGCGTTCCCGAAAGCTACATAATTTCGATATTTAGGAGAAATTATAGACTCAAACAAAACAAGAAATTAGGGGCTTATCAACTACACCAGACACCTCAATTGAAGCTGAAAACACAAGCAGCCTGCAACTTAGTTTGTCAACTACACTAAACAAAGCTTGTAAGTAACTATTTACATTATAACTAATTTACAAATCTACAATTCAGTCATATCATACCACAGTTACTAGGATTAGTTTATCTGTTTTTGAAGATTGAGAGACCCAAGTGTTTGAATCAACCTTAAAGACATAGAGCTGATGTATACAACTAAAAGCCCCCCTCCCAAGACCCCATCAAGCCTCATATTTCTCCTTGGTAGAACCACAAGTGCCCAAAGCAAGCCTCCTGCTAAGAAACACACTGTCTCCAACAGGTATGGATCTCTGCGGATCACAAGGGGTGATGGATATGTAGACCAAGCAGAGCCAACAAGGGATAAGCCCAATCCAAACAGAATGTTGAAGATGGGACCAGCATAACAGGCTGCAAATGCAATTTGAGTTCCTTCAGGTCCACCATTTAAAGCCATTGTCAAATTGGTAATCAAATCTCCAAATGAGTTACCCCAAGCAAGGACAGTTAGCCCTAAGATAGAAGGACTTACACCTAATAAGTACCCTACTGAAACTAACAAACCCACCAATTCCTGAGCTATAAAATAACTCCAAGTAACACTCATTAGAAACCCTGCAATAAGCCAAGGAAATAAGCAATTCTTTGGTGGGCTTGACTTCTCTGTTGTCACAAATGCAACAACCCCAAAAGTGACTCCAAAAATCAATCCAGTAATATAGATCACCAAGCTTGTCATGAAGCTAACACGGTCAAATTCATGGTTCCAAAGGATTGACAACAGCAATGGTGCTAGTGTCACTGAAGCAACTGCATACGGCTTAGACCATCTCTCTTCACAAACAACAGGAATAGTCAATCTCCTTGGCAGATAAAGAGGCATCTCGAGTATGAAAAAAACCATATGACAAGAAGCCGATGATCTAAGATTAGAGCAGCATTTCTTGACTTCTAGTACTTCAGAACTGCCTTCTACAGCTCCTTCCTCTGCAGCACTAAGCTCTTCCTTTTCGTTGTTGCTAAGAATTGGTACACTCAAGTCAGTGTCATTGGTGGAAGTAGAGTTTGATTCACTGATATCCCCAGCAGCATTCTTCCAATGAGTATGTGAGATGTAAACCACAATCACATAAACAATATACATTGAAGCAAAAGCCATTGCAGCCCACACATCTATTTCACTCTGAATCAAGATCAGAACCAAGAACAGAATGACCAAAAGGTAGAAGCAAATATCTCTCACAAAGTCACATTTCTTAACTCGAATACCCCTCTGGCGCATTGAAATGCTTATGATTCCAACCACAATACATGATACAAAGGAAGCTCCCCCCAAAATTGTATTAAGACCAATTTCACCTGTCCCACCACCCATAAACGAAACAAGACTGGAAAAAACATCAGGGGCTCCATTGCCAAGAGAGAGCAGAGTGACCCCAGCAATTGTAGGGGACAATTTTAGTAGCCTTGATAGATTTTCCAGTGAAGAACAAAAGTATGCAGAAGCTGTATTCCCCAACAAATAGAACAAAACCAGGAGCCACAAAAACATAAGAAAATAACCCAAAAGAGGAAAAGTTGCAAAATTGCAATAGAAGATGAAAAGATAGTCAATATAGCCTTGAGAGACACATGGGTTTTCGGATTTAAGGTAGAGGCACTTGGCTTCATAGTCATCTAAACTAAGAAAACCCTCGCAATCTAGCGAATTGCTGTCTCTGAAAATTTCAACACTGCTTAGAACCAGATATTCTGAAGGCTGAAAATGTATAATCAAGAGAGCACATGCCACTAAGAGAAGTGAGATATTCAAGAAAATGATGTAATTCCTATACTTGGGCATGAAAATTAAGGTACCCATTACAGAGATTCAACCTGAGGCCAAAAATACAAAAGTTCTATTGAACCTACCTAGTCTATGCTTGTGCACAAGAGTAACTTGGAGTAGATCATGAGCAAGGAATTGGGTTTATGGCAATTAGGCAGACAAACATTGGAGGATGAAGGGTTTGGAATTTGGTGCCTTGAAAGGTTTCCTTTTGTGCTGCAGACTGATTAAGCAATGGAATGGAGCTTTTGGTGAGAGTCAAGCCAATTGCAGATTCTCTTCTTGTATCCACATTGTGGGAATATTTCACTTTCCCCATGAAAGGTATAGATCATACATGCTAACATGGCTTGGACACGTGTCATATGACTGTTCCGTGGGGATCAGGACAGTCGACAAGCTTCAAATCAAGCCAAAACTACACGTGGAAATTGGGTGGGACGTCATCTTTCGCGGTGGGCATAGCATCTGTGAAAGCAAAGATAACGAGAACCCACGAAATAGACTTACGTGACCGGCCTTCAACATCAATCCTTGTTTTGATAACTTCGCGTTTTTCTTTCTTTTTGATATATACATAAATATCATATTCAGGTCGGCCCTCAGATTCCTGTAGCTCAAGTCGAACCTCCGAAGTGGGATCAAGATTCAAGACCATACTTGTATTCATACGAATCCCTCCGATATTATTTGAGAATACTTGTTGTACCCAAAAACATAATTGGTTGGAATGAAATAGGGGTGATAAAATTTGGAGGCCTCATGATTCGAGGGTCCTAAGTAGCCACCTTATGGGCCTACCATCTATGCCGACCTTGATCACATTCTCCCCGGTTCATCCCTTTTGAGTGTCGAATAATGTAAAGTTCGATGTTAGAAACTTGACAAAATAAATCTCATATATAATAAGTGGTTCAAGTACTAATAGTAGTGATGCCCTTTGTAATAAAACTAGGGGTTGGCAACCGAATCAACCGACACCGGAGGAGAGGAACCATATGTCAATGCTAGTATTCTAGTTGAGAACTGTATATATATTGCCTTTCTTTTGCATTTTATTGCAGCCTTTATTGCACTTTCACCATTGGGAAGGGCAAGGCAAGGGCTGTCACTATTCATATGAATAGTGGCATGCCTTGCAATTTTGTTTCCACCTCTATGGACAAGGACAAGGGCAAGGTCAATTACTATTCACATGAGATATAAGGAAATGAATTTATATATAATTTTGGTGTGAGAAGTAAAGAATATGACTAGGTATTTATAATAATAAAAATTCTGAATTTTTTAATTTTAATTTTAATTTTTTGTTATTTAAATTAATTGCTGACGTCAGCATTATGTCACTTTGCCTAGGCAGCAGCACGGGTTGGACTTGCCTATGGACTTGCCTAGGTTGGTGGGTCTCACGCCTTGCCCAGTCTTGCCCTTGCGCTCTAGAGCTGTTCGTAGGCCTAGGCCATGTCCTACCCGGGCAAAAGGCCTTGCGGTGGACTTGCTCTTAGGAAAATGCTGTCTTCATCACAAGTCTTACATGAAAGCTATCATGGCCTCTTAACAACCATCTAACAAGTCATTAGGTTGGTATTTAGGAATTAGTTAATAACCTTACTTAAGACAGAACAGAGAGATTTGGAAACATGTTTTTATTAAACTAATTAAGGACCAGAAGCATCACAATCAAAACCCTCAAAACAAAATAACACAACGGACAAAAAAAAAACACTAAAATGCAGAAACAAACCACCACCTACATAGGATAATACTTAAACAAACTTCATTCTTTAATTTTACTAGATCATATATAGCAGCACCCTCCAGGCTTGGCAATCTGGTCAATGACCATAGGTAACGATGCTGTCAATAATCTTAGCCACAACCTCCTTAGAATCCCTCAGCTTTCTGATGCTCTTATTCAGGTTTGTACGCTTCACCGCTACAGCCGGTGACTCCTCCAGCATCCTCTCAATCCCGCCACCGTAAGGTCCCATCAGCTCATTCACAATCTCAGCTTCCATCTCCTTGTTCACCAGGTTGGAAATAGACAGCTGCATATGCAACGCCATAAAATCAACAAACCTCCTCATAACAACCTTCCAATAAGCAGCCATCCTCATTTTCAGATCAAAAGCTTGAGGTAACATAAGAGGGTACTGCCTCAGAGCTTCAACTTCTACCTCCCCAATACCTTCTATAGTTATAGTAGAAGTAGAAGGGCTGTTATCTAAGACCCCATCTATGAAGGTCTTCTGGTGAGCCATGAGCCTATTCCATTCAGCAACATACTCAGGATCACATGTATAATCCGTAAGCTTCTCCATATCCACAATTTCCGTCATCCACTTAATCGACCTTTCTTTCATCTTGGCCATCAGATTGTGTCCAGCTCGCCTCGCACATAGTTGAAGCTGATAATAATTATCCGAATGCCTCATCAACACAGAAATAACCACTTCCTCAATGTAAGTCCAAACCTGCTCCACAAACCCAATTGGTATGCACGAAATTCCGCTCACTTTTCCCTGCAAGATAGTAAGAAAAGCATTGCGAGGAAGAAAATTCGGAAGTGCTATACCTTTCACTTCCTCCAATGCCTTGATCTCTTCTATCAAGAAGTGTTTCTTCGGGTCGCTTTCAACACAATTGTGAAGTGCATCTGAGTACTGATTGAGCATTTCAACCAATCTAGCAGTGCAATGCATGTGTCTGTCTTCAGAGTACTCTTCAAATTCTCCTCTCAGAAGAATCTTCCTTAGAGATTCTTTGGCCAAACCAATGATCTGCATGAAAGCTGTCATGGCCTCAGCAACAGAGGAAAGATTCTTTGGCATTTTATTCAGTTCAGAAAGGCAGTAATTCAGCTTTTCATTAATCTTCTTCACAATTTCCGGCAAGTTTCTTGCTATGCTGTTAGCTTGAATTTGCACCAACTTTTGCGCCAAAACTGGAATACCGACAATGGATTTGTCGATCTTCGACAGAAGAGGATGACTCTGAAATAGTTCATGAGCAATGGCCCGTGCCTCCTCATATGTTTCATCTCCAATGCGGTTCCTCACACAGACATAACCAAGTCCGATGTTGACATCATCTCCCGTGACCTTCTCGAGCAGTCCCTCAGGTGCCTTATCAACTTTTGTAACCACAGCCAGCGTCCTTTCACCAGTCTTATCGACACTCTGCGACATCCTAATCGATTCACAGGTGGCAAAATCGACACTGGCAGACAACACATTCAGAATGATACTCTCTTCTGGCTTTATATATTCCATGATCATATCTTTGATTTGATCATAAATATTTTCAGGCTGCCCATGAATAGGCACTCTAGTAATACCAGGCAAATCCACCATAGTCAAATCAGGAACACCCTTCTTTTTCACCAACAGAGTCAATGGGGTGTTAGAAATTCCCTTACCTCCCCCTGCAATAGAATTAGTGGCTCTAACAATATCATCAGTCACGTTGTCTTCATCGGTACGATCAGTTCTGCCGCTGTACTCCAAGGAAAGCTCTGGCTCAGGACTTGAGTGGTGCTGCAGCCTCATTATAAGGGGTACCCTTGTGCAGATGCCTTGACCCCGAGGGAGGCTGATGCCGGCCAAAGATTCAAGGACACTAGACTTTCCAGATGACTGGTCCCCAACCACCACAATTGTTGGGAGCTGAATGCCTTCATCCATTATCATCAAGTTACGGAGTTTGTCCACCGCGTCAAGTAGGGGACGGATTTTGTCATTGTAGGAGGACACAATAGGTGCGCAGTTGATAGGTACTGCATCTGGTTCTGCCTCAACCAGCGCGAATGACCCTTCACCATTCAAAACTGCAGCATTTGGTGTTGTCATGGACGTATTAGCTTGCTTTCCTCCTCCCATATCTGAATTGTAGCAAGAAAATAGTTCAGAAAGAGAGAGAGAGATATAGAGAGATAGGGAGATAGTGGAGGTTGTTGATGAGAAGAGAAATGAGACAAGAGATGGATATGTTTGTCATGAAACTAGGTAGCTATTTATTAATGTTCAACCAGACCACTGTGTTATTCTTCTGGGTTAAGCGACTTCCCCTTGCGGTCTTTCAACATTTGGAAAACCCAAAGTCGTGGTTTGCTCATTTCATTTCATGCACTTACCAGTTTATGCACATACACGACATGAAAATTTTACTTTGATAAAGCAAAAAAAAGGAATCAGCTTTACTTTGATAAACCAAAGTTGTGGTTTCCTCATTCTCTCTAAAACTTCTCTCCTCTCCACCACCCTCTTCCGAGTAGCTGTAGCTTTCTCTTTCAATGAAAAAGGAAACTTCTCTCCTCTCCAACACAACTTTGGGTTTGCTAAATGTTGGAAGACAAAGCTCATGTCCCTTAGCCCAGCAGAAAAATTATATTGGCTTTTGAATGGATGACTGTCCATTTATTTAACTAAAATTTGATAAATTATATATATTAATTGAACATTTGTTGTTTTGGTCCCCAATAATGAACATTTGTTTCCTTCCAACAGACAAAAGCAAGCACATGAATTAGTACATTTTTTATTTAAAACTCACACTGTTTGCCTCACTTCTTCAGGGTCTGCAGCAGGATATTGATTCCTTAATGTAGAAGTAGATTCCTTAAAGTAGAAGCAGATGAACTAGAGTGCTTTTTAAAAGAAATTAGAATTGTTAAGGGAAAAAGTTGGTGTTGGTCATGTGGGTGTCCTGGAAAGGGGGAATGTATAGGACTAGGTATAGCTTTAATTTGGGAGGACTTGAGTCCAGCATGAATTTGAAAAGTTTTCTGGTACTCCTATAAAATTAAAGCTATACCTAAGCAGTGGGCTGAGTAAGTCTAGAAAAATGCATGGTACTATTTGTACTATAGAGAGGCTGTCAGCAATGCAGTAAGTAAGAGCATCTCCAAGGAAGATGTAAAATGACTTGAAATGGACATTTTACATCTCAAAAACAAATTTAGAGCTCCAATCGGCCGGAATATTTAGGATATAAATTTACATAGCACTGGAAAGTGTAAAAATTTCATAGATATACATTATATTTATATCTCCATGGTCTCACTGACACAAATACATGAGTGGCTAACGCAAGGAGCTAAAGCTCTACCCACTCACGAGTTTATCAATACTTGCTCACATCTTCTTCAAGTTTGCAACACCACTGATTTTTATTTATTTATTTTATACAAGCGATAATCTATTTTAATCTAATCTAAACTATGGGGAGGGGGGGTTTATACTTGAGTGCAGAGTGGGGAGCACATCCGTTTTAGCCAATTTGGCTAAACCCATGTTTGCCCATCTACGAACTCTTTCGACTAATTAAAAATGAGTTGTGGGGCGTCCACAAATTCAATTCAAAACATCTAACAACTATCCAATCAACGACTCCCAATTTTTAATTTTTACCTCAATCTAAGGGTTGAATTAATAATTAGTTTTAAATTCAAATTAAACATAACATTAATCAAATCCAACGGTAAAAAAAAGGTCTAAATTACACTCCAAATTTAATCCCAGTCACCACTAATACCACCAAAATCATATTAGATTCATAATTTTGTTGATTTTCTCCCAATATATCTACATTTTTGTTCATACTTTGGATATCCACATCATTCTTCATTCCTTGTATTTAATTAAGTTGTTTTAAAAATTCCAATAAAAATAAATCAAATACACTTTTTGACATTTCTCCTCTCCAATGAGAGAATGTAAATTCCAGGACAAAAAGGCATATTTAGCATCCCAAGATTTTACATTTTCCTACTGAAATTCCATCTTTCAGACAAAAACAAAAATAAAAAATCTTGGAATATTCCAATCAAGATGCCACCGGAGATGTAAAAGTGCAATTTACATCCTCAATTTAAATCTTTGCATTGGAGATGCTCTAAATGTCATATACATTTAACCCATAATCACATTATAAGTTAAGTTTGACATGGTACTTTCAAATATGGCCAAAAAACTCACTTAAATAGACCATCAAAATGAAAATAGAGAAGGAAAAAAAGTGTCGTGGATCAATCGGGCAGCATCATCCATGCTCGGTCATACATTTTATTTTTTTCTTTCCACGAATCACCACATTGCATATTAAAGAACCTATGTAAAACACGGCCAGTGAACATCTCTACGTGAATATTTGTGCAGCAATTGAACAAAACTTGACCAAGTTATGACTTCAAACGTAAAAATGTATCAAAACAGGAAGATATAAAGAACATGAAAAATGAGGAAGAGTCTTGGTTCGCCAGAACAAATACAAAACAAAACAGAAGCTTTTAATTGCAAATAGACGGCATCCGGATCAAGTTGGTTTCCATTTTCTCTAACAATAAGGTTCGATACCAGAATTAAACAATTTTCTTTTCTTTCATATAACTTTGGCAATAACAGATGAGAAAGGGTGGAAGACTGCAGTGTTGGCCTGCCAACACCTTGTAGAGGCTGTATGTTCTTATTTTCATGTTTGTTCCTCATATTTTCTTGAGCAAACTCTAAAAAATAAAAATAAAAATAAGCAGCAGCAGAAGAGAAGCTCCAGAAATAAATGTTACAATGGAATGCTGTTTTGTTTTGTTTGGTTTCATTCCATCCAAATCCCAAGTGTATAAATTTAGGAAACACTAGAAAATCCAGTTTATTTGGAGAAATGCCTCTACTTCAATCTATTTTGTGACATGACCTTTTTTTTATTTTGGCAGAAAACTTCATGTAACTTAGCATGAATAGATTACTGAATAAGTCTAGATCAAACAGTAACAAATCGAAAACGAAAATAATAATCCGAATTAGATTTCTTCATAACTGCTTTTAACTAACATAGTAGAAAACACAATAACAAGTTTATTTAGCTACATTGATAGGATTAGAGGACTGCTTCAAGTTAACTAAATGGTAATGAAAGCAGAAAATATGAGAGGCAACAAATCCTGCTTAACAGTAGGAAGAAATCAACACTTCAAATTCATTGAAAATACTAAATAGGTACCAGAACCACAACAGTCCACGCCTATAACAAAACGGAAACAAAAGCCCTCAAAAATAAAATCAGAAACAAAAACCACAACAAAGGACAAACAAACTTCCATCTTTAATTTTAATAGACCACATATAAAGTTTGGAAAGCTGTTTAATCGCCATAAGAATTGATGCTGTCCATGATCTTCGCTACAACCTCCTTGGAGTCTCTCAACTTCTTGATACTCTTTTTCAGTTTCTCACACTTCACCGTTACAGCCGGCGACTCCTCTAACATTCTCTCAATGCCACCACCGTAAGGACCCATCAACTCATTAACAATCTCAGCTTCAATTTCCTTGTTCACCAGGTTGGATACAGACAGCTGCAAATGCAGCGCCATACAGTCAACAAACCTCCTTAAAACAACCTTCCAATAAGCAGTCATCCTCATTTTCAGGTCAAAAGCTTGACCTAACACATGAGGGAACTGCCTCAAAACACTAACCTCCACTTCCCCAATACCTTCTATAGCTACAACAGAAGGGCGTTTCTCATCATTTAACACCCCATCTATGAAAGCATTCTGATGAGACATCAGCCTGTTCCATTCAGTAGCATACTCCGGATCACATGTATAATCCGCAAGCTTCTCCATGTCCACAATTTCCTTCATCCACTTTATCGACCTTTCCTTCATCTTAGACATCAGATTATGTCCAGCACGCCTCGCTGATAGTTGAAGCTGATAATAATTTTCTGAGTGCCGCATCAACACAGAAATAACCACTTCCTCAACATAACTCCACACCTGCTCCACAAACCCAATTGGTATGCTCGAAATTCCCCTCACCTTTCCCTGCAAGATAGTAAGAAAAGCATTGCGAGGAAGAAAGTTTGGAAGAGCTATACCTTTTGCTTCCTCCAATATCTTGATCTCTTCAACCAAGAAGTTCATCTTAGGGTCACTTTCATCACATTTGTGAAGTGCATCTGAGTACTGATTGAGCATCTCAACCAATCTAGCAGTGCAATGCATGCGCCTGTCTTCAGGGTACTCTTCAAATTCTCCTCTCAGAAGAATCTTCCTAAGAGATTCTTTAGCCATGCCAATGATCTGCAGGAAAGCAGTCATTGCCTCAGCAACAGACGAAAGACTCTTTGGCATTGTATTCAGTTCAGAAAGGCAGCAATTCAGCTTGTCATTAATCTTCTTCACAATTTCCGGCAAGTTTCTTGCTATGCTGTTAGCTTGAATTTGCACCAACTTTTGCGCCAAAACTGGAATACCGACAATAGATTTGTCGATCTTCGACAGCAGAGAATGAGTCTGAAATAGTTCATGAGCAATGGCCAGTGCCTCTTCATACGTTTCATCTCCAATGCGATTCCTCACACAGACATAACCAAGTCCAATTTTGACGTCATCGCCAGTAACCTTCTCAAGAAGTCCTTCAGGTGCCTTGTCAGCTTTCGTAACCACAGCCAGCGTCCTTTCCCCAGTCTTATCCACACTCTGCGACATTCGAATCGATTCACAGGTAGCAAAATCAACACTTGCAGACAACACATTCAAAATGATACTCTCCTCTGGCTTTATGTACTCCATGATCATGTCTTTGATCTGGTCATAAATATTTTCAGGCTGACCATGAACTGGGACCCTAGTGATCCCAGGCAAATCCACCATAGTCAAATCAGGAACACCATTTTTCTTCACTAACAGCGTCAATGGGGTGTTAGAAATTCCCTTCCCTCCCCCTGCAATAGCATTAGTTGCCTTAACAATATCGTCGGAGATGTTGTCTTCATCAGTAGGATCAATTCTGCCATTGTACTCCAATGAAAGCTCTGGCTGAGGGCTTGAGTGGTGCTGCAGCCTCATTATCAGAGGTACCCTTGTGCAGATACCTTGACCCCGAGGGAGGCTGATGCCAGCCAAAGATTCGAGGACACTGGATTTTCCAGATGATTGGTCCCCAACCACCACAATTGTTGGGAGCTGAATGCCTTCATCCATTACCATCAAGTTACGGAGCTTGTCAACCGCATCGAGGAGGGGACGGATTTTGTCGTTGTAGGATGACACAATAGGAGCACAGTTGATAGGTACCGCATCTTGTGATACCGGAACCAGTGCAACTGAGCCCTCACCATTCAAAATTGCAGCACTTGGTTTTCTCTTGGAGGCAGTAGCTTGCTTTCCTCCTACCATATCTAAATTGTAGCAGGCAAAGAGTTGAAAGAAATAGAGAGCGAGATAGAGATTGAGAGGGAGTGAGAGTGATGATTTGTTGATCAGAATAGAAATGAGACAGGTTATTATATAGATACGTTTGTCATGAAACTAGCTTTTCATAATTAATTCTTCAACCACACCTCTGGACAATTCCAAATTCCAAATTAATATTTATTCTTTGGAATTGGAAAATGTATCAAATATCGTAAATGATGAAAACACATCCCATGCGTCTCTGGACTCGTAAACGTTTAGCAAATCATATCCCATGCGTCTTTTGGAGTTTCAACCTGTGCAATTATTAAGTATTACACGATACACGATATGACAACAATGTTCCGATGTTTCCTCCTAAAAAAATAAATGTTCTATTCTGTGCTTTATTTATAATAGTAGACTGCCCAGTACAATAATATAATATATATCTAAAGGGATTTGCGACATCCAGACCTTTTCCATTTGTATTTGCCTCGGCAAGATCCTCTGATTCGTCCAACCGTAACAAAGTAAACAGCGCAGCAAATAATCTACCGGACTTGATACATTAATCCTTAAAATTTAGAGTAATTTAGACTGTAATTTGTAGATATAAAAATGGAAGAATGACACTTACACACACTTTTTTTTTTGGTTTGGTCACATACGCACATCAGTTACACACCTGAAAAGCCTTTTTGCTACTATAATTCTTGGACTAAAAGGTTTTATACGAGGCCCAGGGCCTTTGCTACTACAATTCTTGGAAGAAAAAAGTACATGTTAGTGATTTACGGGAAAATATGAAATTAATTCTTCTGAAAAGCATTTAGATTTTAATAAATATTTTATATACATATAAAATCATCAATCTTGATCCGAAAAAAAAAACAAAAAAAAAAAAAAAAAAAAGGGTGTTTGTTAAAACAATTTAAAACCTAAGAGGGTGTTTGTATAATTTTTGAAACCTCATGGAGTTTCCGAACAATTTGAAAAAAATAAAAATGAATAGAAGCACGATTTTAGAACAAGAAGTTGAAGATGAAATATTGAAAATTGTAAATCAAAGATGAAAAATATAGTTGGACCTGAGAAAGCACCTATGAGAAAGGAGAAAATGAATATGAATTGGTTTTTTGGCAGATCTAATATGGTTTTTGGGGCAGATCTATTTTGGTTTTTTGGCAAATCTAATTTTTCTCTCTCAAATCCATAGTACAAGGGTAATGTAGGTATTTTACACACACAAATAAACTGAAAAAATAGCTATTAAATTGAAAAAAATTCACAACTGTAGATTTTTGGGTTTTTTGGGGGGATTGTTTATAGTTTTTAAATAGTATAGGATTTCTTTATAAGACTATGTTTAAGATTGAGTATATAACTAAATTTTTATTTATTTTAGGAGAGATTCACTATTATACTTAATATAGGGGCACAAATTATAAAAAAATCATATATGAAATGGACTTTAGAAACACACTCAAAGTCCATTTACAACCTAACAAAAAGGCTTTTAACTTCTTATAAATTATAAAACTGTCGTTGATTTCTTAAAACAAGCTCAACCCAAAACCTCATTAAAAAACTCAAAACACTCAATATGACATCAAAGTAATTTAATAATCAAAATTAAATTCAATAGGGGCAGCTGTCATTTTATGAGTTTTTTTGGGTTTGTTTATAGAAATTAAATGGTGTAGGGTTTATCTATATTATTAGTGCTAAGAATGAGTATACAACTAAATAGGGTAAATTACTCAAATTGTCCTCAAATTTGTACCCGATTTACATTTAGTCCATAAACTAAATTATTCTTTCAAATGGTCCACCAACTCTTTATTAATCGGCGCCTTGGTCCTACCATTACATTTTCTATTAAATTTAATCATTTCAGCAGCACATGCTACATTTGTGGGGGTAAATAAGACTTTTGACCTATGTATCACTCCTTTATCACCACTGTATCACCTATGTATCACCACTGTATCACCACTTAATCACAACTTTATCACCTATCACCACTTTATTACCTATATATCACCACTTTATCACATATTTGGGGAACATAGGACAGTTATGTATGGGTTTACCCTTACATTTGATGGCAATTAACATTAACATAATGTAACGGTAGGATCAATGGAGCGATTAATATAGAGTTGATTGACCATTTGAACGAATAATTTAATTGAGGGACCAAAATATAAATCGGGTATAAGTTTGAGAAACATTTTGAGTAGTTTACATTAACTAAATATCTCTTATTTTGGAGGTTTTAATTAGTTTTACGTACATAATGCCTAATTTAGGGTAAAATTGGAAGAAATGTTGAGGATTTAGACGATAGAAGGAACAAAAAAAAAGAGTTTATATCCTTAATTGAAAAGTTAGAGGCAAAAAAAAAAAAAAAAAAAAAAAAAAAAAAAAATGGGTACATTTCAGGTTTAAATCAACAGTTTACCCTAATTCTTAATCATACATTGGTTTTGCCTTACTTTGTACTCTTTCTAAATGCACATATTTATTTGGTTTGCCAATTCTTCTTCAGCATGGGCATTATTGGAGTTTAAAATGTCGCATCATATGATCTCCATACCAAATCATCCAAAACCTTATTTCAAATTCAAACCCTAATCCCGGTCCCTGAGGCATTCCGCCCAAACTCAACTCTTCCCTCTCTCTGAACACCTCAAAACTTGTTCACCCATCGACAATGGCGGACCACGATTGCAAAGACTTGGATATGGGGTTCTCTTTCTCTCTCTCTCTCTCTGCCTCTGTTATAACACCCGTAGTTGTTTCTGTGTTTGTGTATATGAATTTGACCCTCCTCAGCAACCCTCTCAGGTTAATGTATTTGTTTTTGTGCAGATATGAAGATAAGCCACTAGAGCCAGAGAGTGAAGTAAGGATTCAATGCTTTCTGTTTACTATAATCTTATTTTTAAAATATCTGAATTAAGTATATAGGAAAAAAACTTAGCATACAGTATTAGTTATGTGTATCTTAATATGAAAGTAAAAGTTGCTGAAGAAGAATAATGGAACAATGGACAGGGAGGTGCAGATGAGTATCTGGAGAGTATAATCTTGGGTACCCGTGCTCTGCAGATCAGGTATTTGAAATTCCTAACCTTACCTTTTCTGTCCAAAATTTGATTTGGTTTGTTAAGTTTTGGCTCTGACCGATCACAAATTTTTAATCTTTGGATGAGCAGCATGAATACCCCTGTGATGGTTGAATTGGAGGGTGAGACTCACCCACCTGAGGTAACATTCCCCTAGAGCTAGCTATGAATACTCCATGCTTTATGATTTAATCCCTTGTAAATCATAATGTAGCATATAGGTGAATTGTAAATTTAATCAGATTAGCAGAAGCGAAAACAAAGAAAACAGAAAATTAGACAAATAAAGATTGGTTTGGAATCACTATAAGGGTTTCACACCCATTCTTGGCATCACACCAAGGGTTTGGCTTCTCACCAGAATTTCCGTCTCTCGAAAATAAACTTTTACTCTATAACTCAACTATCCTCCAATGAATTACATGGGTTATTTATAACAAATCCTACTTAAAGCATGACTTAAGAACCCAATAAACAGGGACCTAATTTTATGAAAATTGACTTTCTAGCATTTTCAAGGGAGGGGGATGCTAAATAGCTAATGTATTTGATGCAGACATCATTGACAAACCTTTTAATGGAGTCTGGAGCAGATTTCCTTCTTTGTTGTTAGTTTCCCAATTTATTTAGTAGTTTCCTAGGTTCCCTAGTTTTCTGGATAATTGCTTTCTTCAGTACTCATGTGAACAATTTCAATAAGAGGTAAAACTGAAGGGCTGGAACTTATAGGGCTTTTACATCTTAAAACAAAAGTGTAGATAATGCTGTATATTCCACGATTACTACAGAGATTGCCAGCAACGTGTCCAGTAAATGCAGTCCAGATAGCGGCAACCAAAAGTACTGTGTTGTGAATGTGTATCATCCTGATAGCAGCTAATTGAACACAAATGCGATGTTGATTTAAAACAGATAACATGAAATCATGCTATGCATAAAAATATATGATTCTGGTAGTTACAGAGATATCAATGTCAAATAGTAATGTCTCTAAAATCGAAAAGAAAGTGCATGATGTAATCCTTCCCCAATTCAATGAATGCACATTAGGCACTGCACTACTTAATTAATGTTTGTAAGTCAGCTTCTTGCGCATAGTAAGGCTAGCTATACTTGCGAAGAAAAAGAGGAAATTAATTTTGGAACTGGAGGACCTTTTCTTGGTAATTAATTTTGGAAGAGGAGGACATGCGGGATAGTATGGAAGCATGACTGTAAACAAATGGTGTGAGTAATATATGTTTTCAAACGAATGGTGTGAGTAATATATGTTTTTACTATTTTAGTTTAATCAATTGTGGTTTGTGTGTGTCCCTCTTGCTCCCTATGAAGTGTACGGATCAATGGAGGAGTTAGTTAATCAATTGTGTATGTAGTTGCTTATACATATAGTTGTGGGTTCAAAAGAGCTGCAATGAGTAAATATAATGGTTAAAATTGAAGTAATACTTCCCCAGATTCGACGAAGGTCACATTTTAGGCGGCTTTACAGTTTTCATTTTCCTTCTATTGGCTTTGTTTTGTCTCCCAGTGAATACCTCTGTATTGTCTCGTTTTGTCACTCTGATAGTCATTTTAAGTTACATATGAAAAGAATGTATGTAAGTGAGAGTTCCAATTTCTCTCTAAATTATACCCTAGATATTGTTCCCTCATGCTGCACTAGCATAATCTCTTTTATTTTGAATTGCTTAGGGGTTGTTTGATAACAATATCATTTTTTGATACTTCTTTTGAAAATTGAAAATTGAAAATATGTTTGGTAACTAATTTTAGTTTCTAGTTTTTAAAAAAGTGAAAACTGATTTCAAAATGAGGCCCAATTTTGAAAACTCCCGAAAATCAATTTCAGATTTTAGTTCATTTTTCACTTTTCATTTGAAAACTCATGTGCAGCCTCTCTCTCTTCAAAGAAGGGTTACCCTGACATAGGTCTGCTTCTGGTATTTGATTACGTCCATTAGTTTGTAATGAAATCAATGCAGACTTTGATGGTTTTTAAAATGACTGTTCATATAGCTTTATCTTTGATGGCTATCTTGATGATCATGGTGTTGCTTTGTCTTAATAATATTTTCGCTGGTATTTGTGTTAATCACGCTGAACGTGGATGTAGTAGTGAGGAGTTCAAATTCTTATAATTAACACTTATTTCATTTTGCAGGATAGGAGTTCTCCAGCAAGTGCTTTGGAGATTAGGAAAATTCTTGATGTTCTGATGCACGCATCAGAATGTCCTTTAGCTCCTGCATCACAGTGTCAGTATCCCAATTGTCGTAAGATTAAGGGGCTTTTCCACCATGGAATTCAATGCGAGGACCGTGTATCTGGAGGATGTGTTCTCTGTCAGAAGATGTGGTATGTCCTTCTACTTCATGCTCGAGCTTGCAAAGAATCTGAGTGCCATGTGCCACGTTGCAGGTTTGTGGATTAACTTTTTTCTACTACGAGCTTTCAACTTTATCTCTCCTAGTTTTCTCTCCCGACTCTCTCTTTTTAAGGGTTGTACTATAGATTCTCCTAAATAAATATGCATGCTTTCAGCGATTTAAGGGGACATATGAGGAGACAGGAGCAGCAGAAGTCTGTGACGGAGATGATGAGCGGATGGAGGTTGTGAAAGCAACTTTGTGTGACTTTCTTTGGTGGCGTTTTAAAAGCTGGTAGGGAGTTAACCATATGACATGGGTGCGCCCATGTTGTGTAGTAATAGGGGTCTCAGATTAAAACGAAAGACAATCATGTGGATATACAAACAAATGCCAACTGTATCGTGTACACATTTAGAAGTATATACGTATTGCATGTTGTACACATTTAGAAGTACCTCAAGATCCTGATGATGAAAATCTACAATATGTGGGAAGCAGTTCCAATATCCAATTGAGATTGGTGTGACCCACAGCCAAAGGAGAAGGATGTTATGAAGAAGGTGCCTCATGCAAGCACACTAAGGTGTCTTATTGTAACCAAAATTGAGACCTAAAATTTAGAAACGGGCCAAGGGGGTCTTCTTGTAACCCAAATCGTTCCCTTGGACTGAAGGAATTTTTCGGGGTGATCACTGAGTACAAAGGCTTAAATCCTTGAACCTCATCAATTTCTTGTATTCTCGCCTATTGTTTGTTTCTTCAAGTGGTGCGTTTATTTGAGTAATGTTATTCTTACCATACTATCTTATGTGGCAGATGAAGTGGCTAGTAACATCAATTAGAAAGTGTCAATAAATTATAAAAGAAAAGAAAATATTAAATTAATTTTAATTTATGTGGCTGTCCATCTTATTTGCCACATAAAATGGTATGGAATGTGGTGTCTTGGTTCCACATAAGTGCCTTCAACGTTTAGGATTAGTTTCCATCTGGAATAATGTTATGTTGTGTTTTTCCTTCGATTTTTTCACCTCAAGTCCCTTCCAATATTGTACTTTGCAATCTAGTACTTCATAATATATATATATATATATATATATATCTCGTCCATGAGAATATGAGCTGATAAGCATAGGGGGTATCTCTCTTGTTTCTCAGCATGCGATTGACTAGTTCACCAAATGTTGAAAGCCCAAAGAGAACAACCACAAGGTGTGATGTAGTTGGCAAACTTCCACTTTCAGCTGACGAGCTATTTGGTGCCTCAATGGCAAGGGTTCGAAACCCGTTAGAAGCACTTTGTAGCTAGGAGCAAGTCGAATCCCGAGCGGAGATTAATCCTACCATTTGAATGTGAGGAAACCTCGCGGTATTTAACAAAACAAAAAGACCAATGAGCACGGTGCCCTGCTCAGTAGAAAATCATATACTGGTTTGTTTGTCATTGATTACTTGAATGAATATCATTTATTTAAAATTTGGTGAAATGTTTCAAGTCCAAAGAGTACGTTATGTTGTTGGTAAACTGGGCGCAAAAGCTCAAGAATTAAATAACTGCTAATGCCAAGATGGGGAAGACTAAAAGAACAAGAGCACATGTTATATATAGCAGAAAACTAAAATGGTCGTCATTATAACATTAGATTAACATTTACTTGAATTATTACCTATCGAGTTTGTCGAACGGGTATGGAGTTATGTTGAGGAGGTAGTACTATCCGTGTTAGTGAGTCACTCAGAAAACTATTATCAGCTCGAGTTGTCTGCTAGACGTTGCTATAATCTGATAGCAAAGATGAAAGAAAGATCAAGTAATTGGACAAAGGAGATTGTCGAAATGGAAAGGCTTACTGATTACACATGCAATCCAATAAGCTAATGGCTCAGCAGGGTTCTTTTATACATGGAGTCTTACATGACAACGACAAGCCCTCGGTTGAAGTTGAAGCTCTAAGGGGGCACCCGGATGTTCTGCCTCAAGCTTATGACTTGAAGATGAGAGCGGTTGCTTATTGGAAGATTGTCTTGCGAAGGTTGGTGGATTCCATGGCTTTGCATTTGCAGTTGACACTTTCAAACCTTGCGGACAAAGAGATAGAAACTTAAATTGTGAATGAGTTGGTGGGGCCTTGCGGCGGCAGCATTGAGAGGCTGTTGGAGGAGTCGCCAGCGATAGCAGGGAAGCGTGACAAGGTGAGCAAGACTATCAAAAAGCGAGAAGGATTCCCAGGAGATTCTAGCTAATATTATGAATGGCATTAGTCTAGGTGATTAGCATAGCATGTGATGGTCCAAGCTGTGCGGAGAATTAATATATGTTTTGTTATTTATCGTATATGGAGGATTGGTTGTTTTTCGTTTTCCTAGTTAAATGAAGCTACTTTTGTTTAGGAGTGGTGATTTCCCCACTCCAATTTTATCCACTTACACTTCATTTTATAACTAAAAAAGGAGTGTAAATGGATAAAATTGGAGTGGGGAAATCATTACCCTTGTTTAGTCTCGTTTCTTTTTATTGTTAGCTTATGTGGAGGATAGTTCGGATAAATTTGTACTCTTCATTATTATTATTATTATTTTAATGAAGAAAAGTTTAGGGGGAGGGGAGGCTATCCCATCCATAGCCAAGTGTCACGGGTCGCACATAGACAAGTGCTACCGTGACTCCGTTGGGACATCTATGCGCTTAAGAGGTAGTTTAAGTGTGGAAGGGCGAGCGCTTAAGAGGTAGTCTGAGTGTGGAAGGGCGAGAGCTTAAGAGCTAGAATAGTTGGTGTTGGCCGGGTTGCACTTGTGAATGATATTTTGGGTATTTCTGAAGGTTACAGGAGGAACCCGAAGAAGCTAAGAATACCGAAATGTTTGTGATGTCGAGACGCAGGAAACGCAACTGACGGTTCGCCATTCGAAGTTCGTATGAGGGAGTTATGCCCAATTATGACTCCTCGTGCATAGGTGATGTTCCCTCCTGACAGAAGGCTAAATGCATAAAATGCTATATAGGGGGTGACATGGTGTCATGCTTTCTACCACCCCTGGTGCTTACACCCTTGTGGCACTAAGCGAGCATCCTTATGACATTGGAGGTAGTCATAAGGGCGGGCATAAGATTGTTGAAGGATAATCTATGTCTTCGAGGAAAAGGAATTCCCGAGGACAGTACGAACACGCGGGGCCGTTCGTATTGCGCATAGTTGTAAAGAGTGAGGTCAACGTATGGCATTCACTATGCCATCAGCTAGCGAGGCATTTGACAATACTCGATGGACTTGGCTTGGGTTCGGCCTTGTCCAAGATGGAAGGAAGATATTCGGATGCCGGTACGCGTGGGTTGTGACCTCATGCAATGCATAGATGGTTATGTGGAACATTCGGAATACATATATCTCCAAGGCTTGGGAGACATGCAAGTATGATAGCTTGTGTGTATAGCTTGAGGATGTGGGCTATCGTGGACGCTAAAGGAATGACCGACAGAAGTGTGGGTAAACCGATGGTGTGTTGGATCGCTATGTCTTGACGTCGACATGAGCGAGCCATGAGTTAAGCATGCGACGTGGTTGATGCAGTTGACGTGTCTTATGCAACGCTTGATGTATGGGCGTCGAGGGTTCGTTGCCGGATGCAGAGTGATTGTATTGTCACAAGGTAGTGTGACTCGTTGTCTAGTGGGAGACGACACTTGAAGGGGAACCTCTCGTGGAGTTGTGAGAGTCATGAATATCATGAAGTGGGAGAAGGCTGACTGGGATCCGAAGGGATCCTGGGCCACACGGGTGTGCTTTGAGTGGCGAAATTTGTGTTTCGCTTATGCCACGCCGCGCCGCTCGTTCATCCCATGACAAGAGGCATACCAAGGCCACTTTGAGGAATTACATAGGGGGTCTTAGCCCATTTTTTAGTTTTATAGATTTTACCAACCAAGAGAGATTGTCGGCAACGGGACTCAAACCTAGGCCTTGCTAGCGAAGAGAAAAATCCTTACCAACTCAACCAACCCTTGTTGGCGAATTTTTAGTCTTGAATGTGCCTCAGCAATGACAAAATACAAGTGCATGTGCAATCCTTTGGTAACTAAACCAGACCTCTTGACATGTACATATTTTTCTGTTTTATATTCACCCATGCATCATCTAATTTCAAGCAGACGTCCCTGATTCAGTAAGTAATGCAATAATATTTAAAGGTCTGTAAAATTTTATATTATTCAATATTATTTAATTTTTATAATGAATGAAAAATAAGTTTTTCAAGAATCATGCGTCTTCAACTAAGATTTGAAATGAGTTCAAAGGAGTAATAGATTAATGAATTTTAATTGATTTCCATAAATTCCACATAGATTTTGGTTGGATTCATACATGAATATTAATTAGAGGTGGACACAGTCGGATTTAGTCTGATTTTCCCACGAATTGGAATCAAAATCAAAACTTACATGATGTCTGCTTCAGTTCGAATTCATAGAAAAGTGTCTGGAAGAACGAAACGAAACCGGACCTATGCAGTTCTAAATTACTATGACGTCCTTAGGCCAAAACTGAAAGCAAACATGAGGTTTGATCACTGCCGAAAATCCAGCTCAATCTCTCCAGGTATTGACCTGTTCAATCTACTTTTATCATTGTTGCTTATCATAGTTCTTAGATTAGGAGTTATTTGTTTTCTTTTGTTTTATTTTTTTAGTTATTGTTGTGATGCCTTAACTTAGTTGGTTTTATTATATATAAGAGTCAAGGAAATAATTGCTGCACATAAAGAAAAGAAACAAAGATTGTGGGGCGAATTAGCATCCCCTGGTGTGATCGTCCTTAATTACCCCCTTTTTTATTATTATTTATTTTTATAACGTGTTTGATTTGTTTATATATATATATTTAATTGTTTTGGTTTTTTTAAGTTAACCTTTGTTTCTTAGTTATATTAATTTTTAGTTTTCTTTTCAAAACAACAAAGAAAAAACAAATTGTATTTAGTTTAGTTTATGCACGGTCATTGTTCTGTCCTTGTACAATTAGGCCCTGTTTGGTGGGTTGACTTGGACTAGTTAGGATGGGCTTGGAAACATTGGATTGGTCTGGCTTGGACTGGCTAGGCTTTGAGTCCAGTCATGTTCATTTTTGCACCAAACAAGAGACTAAAATAACTTTTATTTATTTAATAAATCAGATTTTTATTTTATTGTTTTATTAACAATTCAAATTTCAAATTTTTTGCCTCAAATTGAAGAAAAACCTTGGAAGCATATGCAAAATCCTAAACAAATCAAGAAGAGAACTTATAACATCAATAATCAAACCCAAAATCAAACTCATATCAATATTTTTTTTTATAAAAAAAAAACAGAAAATCAAACTCATATCAAGCTTTAAAAACAGAAAAAAAAATTAAAAAGAACTCAAATCAAGTTTAGAAAAAAGAAAAGAAAAAATATATATAATATGTTGCTAGTTGTTTTCCTTCTTCATCTCTGTTTTCTTTGATTCCTGCGGCTGTTGGGTTTTGTTCGATTTTGTTTTCAAAGTGGATTTATACATAGGTACTAGGTTAGTCAACATGATAGACGACAGATTTCTTCAATCTTTAGATTTCTCCAGCAATGCCCTGCAGGAGAGAGCATACCGCGGAGGCGATGACTCCGGCGATGGGTCGATGATGGTGGAATAGAGAGAGACCAACGAGATTGGACAGAAGATAAAGGGTAGAGAGAGAGAGAGAGAGAGAGAGAGAGAGAGAGAGAGAGAGAAGGCAACGCGAGATGGATGGGAAGGAGAGAGACGACGACAGAGGGTTTCACTATAAACCCATATCTGGGGTTGGGTTTCATAACCCTAGTTATTTGGGACATGGATCCGAAGGCCCATATCCAGTCTGAGATACATTTAAGTCTACCAAACAATGGTTAGGATCCATATCCATTTTAATTGGAAATATCTCATCCAGTCCAGTCCACCAAACAGGGCCTTAATACCTTAGAATCCTGAAATTTAAAGAACATTTAAGGAAAGACTAAGAATCAATTTCTCTTTGTGATAAATAGGGTTGACATTTCAAACGAAAGCTCAAAAAACAAACCGAACAAACTGACAACTTGCTGATGTAGTGCTGACAAGAAGAAAACCGATCGCGGACTAGGCTAGTTTTTAAAGACCGACTGACCGTTTTGGTTGTCGATGCCATTTTTAAAACCTGAAACGAGGGTATATTGAATCAAGCTACGTATAGATAATTAATTAATTTGATATATATATATTTAAGAGATATTTAGTAATATACCCATTATTATCACTAAAACTATAAATAAACCCTACATCATTTCATTTTTATAAACATACTAAAAAAAACCCAAAATATGACAAATGGTCCTATTGAATTTAATTTTAATTATTAAATTACTTTGATGCCCTATTGAGTGTTTTGGGTTGAGTTTGTTTTAAGAAGTCAATGGCAATTTTGTAATTTAAAGAAGTTAAAAGCATTTTTGTTATGTTGTAAATGGGCTTTGGGTGTGTTTATAAATTCCATTTCATATAAATTTTTTTTAATAATTTGGGCTCCTATATTGGGTATATTAGTGAATCTCCCTATATTTAAATATATTTGTACAAATAATAGCCCTTAGATAATCTAACGACTAGGATTTAAGGATTGAGATTAATCCTAGCCGCCAGATGAATCTCACTCAACTCATCTCACTCACTCTTAGATTAGACTCCTCACTCCCTCATTCGAAAAAAAACCTACCCATCATCTTTTCCTCTCCTCTTTGTCGCCTCGAGTGAATCATTGCGTAATCAACAATAGCCACCCTAGTACATGTAAATATACAGTTTTTTAAAAGTGACAACCATAGATTCTCCTTTGTTTTTTTCAGGAGGCAATAATTTGACCTATTTTATCTCTACACCTCTGTAGAGCGATGCGTTGGAAGATCAGACTTTCTAAGTAGGAAAGTTTATTGCGGAGAATTATTGGGCTAGTAGATTTCACAATACGTATCGTTAATAAGGCATGTGAAACAATTGTCTATCACACACAAAAAATTCAAATTTGAAGTCAGTTCTATCTACATAACTACTAGAGCAACTATCATAAATTGGACCATGGAACAACCTACTCCTGAAGAGTTAATTTGGTATTTCTTAACCCGCATTGCATAATCAACAACAACCACCCTAGTGCATGTACATGTGCAGTTTTTTTGGAGTGTCCAACTGGAGATCCTCCATGATTTTTGAAGATGCAAGAATTCGACCTATTTTACCTCTAAACTACACTAGAGCAATGCGATTGAAGATTATATCTTCAAAGTATGAGAGTAACTATGCCAATGACATAAATCCCAATGAGATATTGGAGTGGTGAATATCGAAGTATGTATAGTGAATTAGCAGACGAAAAAATTTTCTATCAAACACAAAAAATTCAAATTTCATGTTAGTCATATCTACATAACTACTGGAGCAACTGTCATATTTGAAATTGGAGCATGGAACAACCTAATCGTGAAGAGTTGATTTTGTATTTCCTACCTCCAATGCATAATAAACAATAACCAAGCTCGTACAGGTGCACGTACAATTTTTTTGAAGTGTCCAGCCGAAGATCCTCCATGGTTTTTTTTTTCTTCAGGATATAAAAATTCAACCTATTTTACCTTTGCAACAGAGTAGAGCAATGCGATGCAATATCAAATATTCCAAGTATGAAAGTCTATCGTAGTAACTACGGTAATGACACAAATCGCAATGAGAGATTGGGATGCTGGACGTCGATGTACATATAAGTGAAATAATTGTTTGTCACGCACATAAAATTCAAATCTCATGTATAAGTATGACGGAAGATGAACAAGATTAACTCGATAAAAAAGAAGAATGTGAGTACTAGGAAAAACAAGATTGAGGAGAAGGATATGGGCGTTACAGAGACTTCTTCAGTTGCAGTGACTTTTGATAGTGAAGAAGATGAATTATGGGGATGGGGGGGAGAGAACTCAGTGGAGTATGTGGTTTCCGGTGATGATGGAAAGTTGTCAAGAGTCAATGCGCAATGAGGGCAAGCAAGGCTAACATACGACAGCTTTAGACTTCTCGGTAAGATTGTAAGCGAGCCTTTTTATTTATCATGAGTAAGTTGATGGAGGTGGAGGCAAGGATTGAGATGGGGCTCGCACAATTGAACTTGAATTTGAAGAAGAATTGAGAAGAGGAGGCTTGGACAAAATAGGTTTTGGGTATATAACAATGATGCTTAAACCAAAAATTTCATTGGTTTTTTGGGTATACAATATAAGTCTAATGTCATAGCTTCTTTAGTTGTGGGGTGACATGCACAAATTCCTCAAATTTTTTGGGTACATCATAAAAAAGGGACAAAACAAATCTTAGAGAAGTAAGTAGTGATCGGTAGTGGAGCTTAGTATGCTTATCCGTTTTTGAGTAAAGCATATGTAGAAGGCCTATCCTGTGCCGATGGCAAGATATTAGCTGAAAATACTATTGTATTTAGTGGCTTAAATGATAGGTTTACTGGGGGTGAGATTAACCATTTTCACATTTATAAAAATGGGCACACATAATTTAAGAAAGAGAAGTTGTTGGATCTCTATCTACGTGACTTTCAAATGCATTAAGTTTTAGATGAGAGTGCAATATACATTGCTATTCCATTTATTGCATCATGCACTAATGATTTAATCCATGAGATGACGAAGGATGATATGAGAAAATTAATTAGCCGGTAAGTGAAATTATTGATTCACTATGCAAAACGTTTATCTAATTCTTTATATGATTAATTTTTAAATTGAAATGTTCTTAATTTTGTTGCAGTGATACCGAGTTAGAAGCCTATTACTGCTTGGGTGATGTAAGTTGGTTTGACATAACCTATCACTTATTCCAAGCTTCAATGAAAGGTCAAGATTTGGCAACTAAATGCCATAAGGTGCAACGTCAAAATTATTCAAATTTTGATGAAATAAGGCCTTGGGTATTAAATGATGATAACCCCGGAATATGGTTGAAAGTCGATGAAGAACAACAAATTGTATCTTTTGTATGTGAGGAATCAGTAGAGATGCTGAGTTATATTGTGAAATATAACTCTTTTGATCCTCCCGCATATGACAAGTATAAACAAGTTTGAGACTTGTCCTAGATATGCATAAACTTTAGGTTAGGATCGAATTCATTATTCACCATGAATATGCTTTCTATGAATCATAGTCTTTGTTTATGCCTGATTTATGCTCAAATGGACCATTTTTCGGCGTTCTGCTGCTCGAGCGAGTGTCACATTTTTCAGGTTTAAAATTTGGTTCGCGCTTCATTTCGTCATCCCTCCTCATTCCACTAGAGCGCAGCTCGTATATCCGCTCTTCCCTCCTCAATTTTCTTCGATCCCCCCCCCCCCCACCCCCCCAACCCCTCCCCCCACTTTCCCGTTTGTTGCCAACGTGATTTCTAGAGGTTCTCCCTTCTCTTTAACCCCAATTTCTTGCTCTTTCACCCAAGTCTTCTGCTTCCTCACTCTATGGTTTCACATTGAGAATTCACTCTATCCCGTCGAAATCACTTGTCATTACCTAATTGTTCTCTTTTTCGACAGTCCTTAGTCCTTCCCTATTGATTTGAGGCCATCCTTTATGGAACTTGGGCTCCAAGCTCAAATTAGGTGTTCAAAAAGTAAGCACCTTGTTTGTTCTTCACACACTCTTGAATTCTTTCGCATTTAAGACTTATTTCTTGTTTGTTTTTGTGTTTTTCATTGCTTTGGAATTGATTGGTGTTGGATTCCTTCCGACATTGGTATGTTTTCTCTTCTCTTTGTGTTTTTGGTTCTTGGTTATGATTTTCTTTTTACCTTTGGTGTTGGGCATGTCTTTTTTATTTTATTTTTTGCTTTTGCTTTCTTGTGGTGCTATTATGGTTTGTTTGTTTTTTGTTTGGATTGTGGTTGATTTGGTCTCTAGACTTTGTTTCGTCATGACTCGTCGAATCAAGCACAGGAAAACAATAACTGTGAAGAGTTGATTTTGTATTTCCTACCTCTAGTGCATATAAACAACCCACCAAGCTTGTACAAGTGCACATACAATTTTTTTGAAATGTCCAGCTGAAGATCCTCCATGATTTTTTTTCCCTCAAGATACAAAAATTCAACCTATTTTACCTCTGCATAGTGACGATGTACATATCGGCGAAACAATTGTTTGTCACACACATAAAATTCAAATCCCGTGTTGAAGTACGTGGGAAGATGAACAAGATTAACTTGATGACTTATGGAGATGGGGGAAGTGACAGGACCCGCCCCGAATCTCCTCAGAAACCGGGACGGACCCCGCCTAAATTCGGACATCACCCCGATGCCGGGCCCACTTACTAAAGACCGAGACTTTCTACCAAAAATTTGGCAGAGTCTCCCCTGTAAAATGAACATTCTCAAACTTCAACTTGTTCAAAATTACAATTATAAACAATCAACTGACAGCATACTTTACAAGCAATAAAACAGTTTACAAGAAAGGCCTCCGGCTTCACGATTTAAACCCTCAGCGGGCGATACAGAGCATATCTAAGAAATTCAAATACAACAGAAGTACAGATCAACTGAAAGGAAAAGGTGAAGGAGTCCCTACGAAGACTCAAGTTTCGAGAGCACCCGGTCCGGCTCGACTGTGGAGCTCAGTTGCTACTGGCTGGGGGCGCAAAACAGAAAATTGTGAGTGGACGAAAATCAAGTTCAGTTCAATTAAATCAAAGTAATATAACCCCACCTTTATAAAAACATGTAACGAATCCAGATGCATAAATAAACCGTCATAAGCAGTCTATAAACATATACTAAAAATAATACCAGATACCAAATCCGAAATCCGTGAATCACACTTCACAAACCCACCACTCAAAACTTAAGAGTCTCGAGAGATTAAACTCTCGAAAACGTACCTAAGGGTACGACCGGCGAGGAAGTATCCTTACCGAGAAATAAGAACAACAGAATATTCATATATATATATATATATATATATACTAGTAATATAAAATAATAATAATAATAATATATAAATATAACCAAAATTTAGTTGTACAGGGGAAACAATCCAACCGGGGGATTGTTTGACTATTCCACATGGCAGAGCCATTCCTCAATTCACCATGTGTCTAGGGAACGAGCCGTCCAACTGGGGAACTAACTCTCAGCCAGTACGTACAGCCGATACAGTCAAAGCTTGTACGCTTGAAATACCAGTCCTACGCGCGCAGACTACCTCAAATCCAGGGTCCACAGCAACATCTCCTCAAGGATGTCCTGAACTCAAATAATTCCAATTATATCCAATATCAGTAATCAAGTTTCAGATCCGGGGAGGTACATAGGATAATGCTTAAAGCACTCCAAACAGACATATCAATAATCACACCTCCCAAGTACCCCACACAGAACCATATGTGTATATATTCTCAAAACCCAAACATATTATCAAAACTTTATGAAAACCACGAATTTCACATTCGAATATATACCATATTCAATAAACAAAATAAAGCAATATGCCATATTTTCCATGAATAAAGTCATGCTGAAGTTTTGAAAGAAAAGTCCACTCACAAGTAGTCCCACACAGTTTGACCCTGAGAGGGTCTCGCCTGCTGAGTATACGAGGTCGGAGTACCTGATTCAGAATACGAAAATGCGATTAACATCAAGCGCTCTGAAACAGAACTTTAAAATAAAACTCTAGCTTCCCGGGGGTCTAGTGAGTACGAGGAAAGAGGTGTTCTAGAGTAACATACTTCAATTTGAAAACGATCCAACGGTCGGAACATATCGAACCCGGATAACGCACAATCCGCGAAATCCTACGCGCTCGTGACAACCTAAGGATCACACTGGAACAATTTGCAGCTCCACCACACTTGTCCACGCGCCGCCACACGCGCTGGCAGCAAGCGGGTGTGAGAGAAATTCCGGCGACGGAAAATCTCCAAATCACAAGTCACCCTCTCGGCTATAGGTCCTACTCAATTAGGGGAGCATTTCATTGAACTACGACCAAGCCCAAATTTGCTAGGAAACTGGCCGGAATTTCGAATTGAAAACCAACCAAAACCTAGCTTCTCAAATCGGATTTTATGCTACGAATTGATCAAATCCTATGCAACAATTAGCTAGAACAAGGAAAAAGAGGAAGAACCCTCACCAGTTTCACTGGAAATGGGAGGCTAGAGCGGCGGCGCAACGCCGGGATTGATCCGGTTCGAACTAGTCAATATCGTCGACGAATCTCGAGATTTTCAGCAGGGAAATCGGGTGGTTCAGGTTCGGGACTTCACTACGAGTCGAACGGGACCAGTCTCGAGAGCTGAGGTGGCTGGAAGTGGTGGCAGCGTGGATTTTTCTGTTCGGGTGAACAATAACTCGGGAGTTTGAGGGAGAAGAACTCGGGGAGAAAGAAAGAGAGAGAGAGAGAGAGTGAGGTAAAACTGAAAACAAAACTTATTTTTACCCAAACCCTTCTCGAGTTAATTACAATTTTGCCACCGAAGGTAAATTGATCGCCGAAATTTCGTTATAACTCCAATTCAAGCCTACCGCCTGTCTACGAATTCATCTCAGAACCACCTACGCAAGCAAACCACCCGTGGTCCCAAATCCTTTCGAATAAGAAAATGACCAAACTACCCTGCCCTAAGGGTAATTTCGTAAATTCACATTTAATTAGATTAAATACTTTAAATTGGAAATTTACTTGGAGTCGAGGTGTTACAGGAAAAGTATTCAGAGGAGTATGTGGCTGCTGGTGATGATGGAGAGTTGTCAAGAGTCAAGGTGGAATTAAGGGCGAGTAAGTCTAACGTACTACAACTTCAGACTTCTCTGTAAGATTGTAAGCAAGCTTTTTTTATTGACTACGAGTAAGTTGATGGAGGTGGAGGCAAGGATTGAGAAGAGGCTCGCACAATTACACTGGAATTTGAAGAATGATTGAGAAGAGAAGGCTTGGACAAAATAGGTTTTGGGTATAAAACAATGATGCTTAATCCAAAATTTTCATTGGTTTTTTGGGTATGTAGCATAAGTCTACTATCATAGCTTCTTTAGTTGTGGGATGGGATGCACAAATTCCTCAAATTTTTTAGGTACATTGTAAAAAAGGGATAAAACAAATCTTAGAAAGTAAGTAATGATTGGTAGTGGAGCTTAGTATGCTTATCCCTTTTCGGGTAAAGCCTATGTAGAAGGCCTATCCTGTGTTGAGGGCAAGATATTAGCTGAAAATACTATTGTATTTAGTGGCTTAAATGATAGGTTTACTGGGGGTGAGATTAACCATTTCACATTTATGAAAATGGGCACACAGAATTAAAGAAAGAGAAGTGTTGGATCTCTACCTACGTGACTTTCAAATGCATCATGTTTTAGATGAGAGTGTAATATACATTGCTATTCCATTTATTGCATCATGCACTAATAATTTAATCCATGAGATGACGAAGGATGATAATTAGTCGGTAAGTGAAATATTGATTCACTATACAAAACGTTTATCCAATTTTTTATGTGATTAATTTTTAAATTGAAATGTTCTTAATTTTGTTGTAGTGATATTGAGTTAGAAGCCTATTACTGTTTGGGTGAAGTAAGTTGGTTTGACATAACCTATCACTTATTCCAGGCTTCAATGAAAAGTCAAGATGTGGCAACTAAATGCCATAAGGTGCAACGTCAAAATTATTCAAATTTTGATGAAATAAAGCATTCGGTATTAAATGATGATAACCCTGGAATGTGGTTGAAAGTTGATGAAGAACAACAAATTGTATCTTTTGTATGTGAGGAATCAGTAGAGATGTTGAGTTATATTGTGAAATATAACCCTTTTGATCCTCCCGCATATGACAAGTATGAACAAGTTTGAGACTTGTCCTAGATAAAGGTGCATAAACTTTAGGTTAGGATCGAATTCATTATTCACCATGAATATGATTTCTATGAATCTTAGTCTTTGTTTATGCAATTATATGGTTGGTTTTCATTGATATTATGTTGGTATGTATTGGTCGAATTCCCATAAACAGAAAAATAGCTTAGTATAATTTTGTTGGTTTGAATGCGTATGTATTAGAAAATTGTGAACTCTAAGCTCCTTTATATTTTGTTGGTTTGAATTCCCGAATTGGTTGAACTCTAATCTGTTAAAGACTTGCCTGTAATTGGTTGAATTCCAAGCTCCTTCATAATTTTGTTGGTTTCAATTGGTTGAATTCTTTGAGACAGAAGAATATGATAAATACTTGCTTATCTAATTGAATTGGTTGAATTGCTTGATGCAATTTGATGATGATGACGATGATCCGTTGCAATCTTCTACGGAGGTTGAGGGAATGAGAACGGAGGCCTTCTTTGATAGTTTTGGGAAGCATTGGTGTACCCCGTTTGTGCGGTCTCTCTCATAGTTTTTGTTTGGTGGGGTAATGTGTTTTGAGTTGGACTTTTGTGTTAGTCTATTGTGGTAGCCTAGGCTAGCTAGTCTTTTCTCTTTTCCATTTTTTTTGGAGTTGAATTTTGTTTAGAGTCAAAATACCACACCTAGGTTCTAGTGCTCGGGCCCTTGATTTCTGCTCAAGTGGACCATTTTTCGGCGTTCTACTGCTCTAGCAAGTATTAGTTCTCCCCGAGCAAGTGTTAGTTGTGCTTGATGCAGTTTGATGATGATGACGATGATCCGCTGCAATCTTCCACGGAAGTTGAGGGAATGAGAACAGATGCCTTCTTTGATAGTTTTGGGAAGCATTGGTGTGCCCTGTTTGTGGGGTCTCTCTCATAGTTTTTGTTTGGTGGTTTAGTGTGTTTGAGTTGGACTTTTATGTTAGTTTGTTGTAGTAGCCTAGGTTAGCTAGTCTTTTTTTATTTTTTGTTTTTTGTTTAGTTGAATTTTGTTTAGAGTCAAAATCCGACACCTGAGTTCTGATGCTTGAGCACCTGATTTCTACTCAAGTGGACCATTTTTCGGTGTTTTGCCGTTCAAGCGAGTATTAGTTGTGCTTGATGCAGTTTGATGATGATGACGATGATCCACAGTAATCTTCCACGGAGGTTGAGGGAATGAGAATGGAAGCCTTCTCTGACAGTTTTAGGAGGCATTGGTGTGCCCAGTTTGTGGGGTCTCTCATAGTTTTTGTTTGGTGCTGTAGTGTGTTTTGAGTTCGACTTTTATGTTAGTTTGTTGTGGTAGCCTAGGCTAGCTAGTTTCTTTTTCTTTTTTTTTTTTTTTTTTTTTTTTTTTAATGTGAATGAATATGTATTTGTTTATAGAGTCAACACACACCAGGTTCTAATGCTCAAGCGCATAATTTCTACCCAAGTGGACCATTTTTCGGCATTCTGCCGCTCGAGCGAGTATTAGTTGTGCTTGATGCAGTTTGATGATGATGACGATGATCCGCTGCAATCTTCCACAGAAGTTGAGGGGAATGAGAATGGAGGCCTTCTTTGATAGTTTTGGGAAGCATTGGTGTGTTGTGGGGTCTCTTTCATAGTTTTTGTTTGGGGGTGTAGTGTGATTTGAGTTGGACTTTTATGTTAGTTTGTTGTGGTAGCCTAGGCTAGCTAGTCTTTTATTATTATTTTTATTTTATTTTTTATAAGTTGAATTTTGTTTAGAGTCAAAATCCCACATCTGGGTTCTGGTGCTCAAGCGCTAGATTTCTACTCAAGTGGACCATTTTTCGGCTTTCTCCCGCTCGAGCGAGTATTAGTTGTGCTTGATGCAGTTTGATGTTGATGACGATGATCCACTGAAATCTTCTACGGAAGTTGAGGGAATGAGAATAGAGGCATTGTTTGACAGTTTTGGGAGGCATTGGTGTGCCTAGTTTGTGGGGTCTCTCTCATAGTTTTGTTTAGTGGTGTAATGTATTTTGAGTTGTACTTTTATGTTAGTTTGTTGTTGTAGCCTAGGCTAGCTTGTCTTTTTTTTTTTTTTTTTGTTGTATTTTGTTTAGAGTTCAAAATCCAACACCTGGGTTCTGGTGCTCGAGCGCTTGATTTCTGTTTAAGTGGACCATTTTTCGGCGTTCTACCGCTCGAGCGAGTATTAGTTCTCTCAAGCGAGTATTAGTTGTGCTTTATGCAGTTTGATGATGATGACGAAGATCCGTTGCAATCTTCCACGGAGGTTGAGGGAATGAGAATGGAGGCCTTCTTTGATAGTTTTGTGAACCATTGGTGTGCCCAGTTTGTGGGGTTTCTCTCATAGTTTATGTTTGGTGGTGTAGTGTGTTTTGAGTTGGACTTTTGTGTTAGTTTGTTGTGGTAGCCTAGGCTAGCTAGTATTTTCCTTTTTTTTTAGTTGAATTTTGTTTAGAGTCAAAATCTCACACCTGGGTTTTGGTGCTCAAGCGCCTGATTTCTGCTCAAGTGGACCATTTTTCGGTGTTTTGTCTCTCGAGCGAGTATTAGTTCTCCTCGAGCGAGTATTAGTTGTGCTTGATGCAGTTTGATAATGATGACGATGATCCACTGCAATCTTCCATGGAAGTTAAGGGAATGAGAATGAAGGCCTTCTTTGATCGTTTTGGGAAGCATTGGTGTGCCCCGTTTGTGGGGTCTCTCTCATAATTGTTGTTTGGTGGTGTAGTGTGTTTTGAGTTGGACTTTTATGTTAGTTTGTTGCGGTAGCCTAGGGCTAGTTTTTTGTTTTTTTTTTTTTTTTTTTTTTTGGTTGATTTTTTTGTTTAGTCAAAATCCCACACCTAGATTCTGATGCTCGAGCTCCAGATTTCTGCTCAACTGGACCATTTTTCGGCTTTCTGCCGCTCGAGCGAGTATTAGTTGTGCTTGATGCAGTTTGATGATGATGACGATGATCCATTGCAATCTTCCATGGAGGTTGAGGGAATGAGAATAGAGGCATTCTTTGACAGTTTTGGGAGGCATTGGTGTGCCTAGTTTGTGAGGTCTCTCTCATAGTTTTGTTTGGTGGTGTAATGTGCTTTGAGTTGGACTTTAATGTTAGTTTGTTGTGGTAGCCTAGGCTAGCTAGTCTTTTCTTTTTTCCTTTTTTTTAAGTTGAATTTTGTTTAGAGTCAAAATCCCACACCTGGGTTCTAGTGCTCGAGCGCCTGACTTCTGCTCAAGTGGACCATTTTTCGGCGTTCTGCCGCTCAAGCGAGTATTAGTTGTGCTTGATGCACTTTGATGATGATGACGAAGATCTGCTGCAATCTTCCACGAAGGTTGAGGGAATGAGAACGGAGGCCTTCTTTGATAGTTTTGGGAACCAATGGTGTGCCCCGTTTGTGGGGTCTCTCTCATAGTTTATGTTTGGTGGTGTAGTGTGTTTGAGTTAAACTTTTATCTTAGTTTATTGTTGTAGCCTAGGCTAGCTTGCCTTTTCCTTTTTCTTTTTCTTTTTCTTTTTCTTTTTTATTTAGTTAAATTTGTTTTGAGTCAAAATCTCACACCTGATTTTTGCCGCTTGAGCGAGTAGTTCTGCTCGAGCGAGATTCGCACTTTTTAGGTTTAGAATGTGGTTCGCACTTCAGTTTTTCATCCCTCCTCATTCCACTCGAGCACAACTCTTATATCCGCTCTTATCTCCTCAATTTTCTTCGATTTTCACCCCCTTCGCCCCCCAAATCTTCCCACTTTGTTGTGCCAACGTGATTTATAGAGGTTCTCCTTTCTCTTTAACCCCAATTTCTTGCTCTTTCACCCGAGTCTTCGGGTTCCTCACTCTTGGATTTCACATGGGAATTCACTCTATCGCGTCAAAATCACTTGTCATTACCGAATTGTTCTCTTTTTTTGGCGGTCCTTGGTCCTTTCGCATTGATTTGAGGCCATCCTTTACTGAGTTTGGGCTCCAAGCTAAAATTAGGTGTTCAAAATTAAGCACCTTATTTGTTCTTCACACACTCTTGAATTCTTTCGCATTTAAGACTTATTTCTTGTTTGTTTTTTTGTTTTTCATTGCTTTGGAATTGATTGGTGTGGATTCCTTCCTATATTGGTATGTTTTCTCTTATCTTTTGTTTTTGGTTCTTGGCTATGATTTTCTTTTTACCTTTGGTGTTGGGCATATAAGTTTTTATGTGATTTTCTGGTTTTGCTTTCTTATGGTGCTATTATGGTTTGTTTTTGTTGTTTGGATTGTTGTTGATTTGGTCTCTAGACTTTGTTTCGTCATGTCTTGTCGTACCCCCATCCCTATTCCGTCAATTCCATAGTACCGTCAATTCCATCCTTGCATGCCTCGGAAACACAAAGTTAACCGAGCCGCATTCTTCGCAGGCCTCGGAGACACTAAGTCCACCCGAGCCGCAATCCTCACAGGCCTCGAAGACACCAAGTCCACCTGAGCAGCAAACCTCGCACCACACAGTTCAAGCGTCCCCGAAACTCGTGGGGCATTATCAAAATAACCTTTGAGTCTTAATATAACACTCAAGAAAACAATAAAATCCTATAACATAAACTCATGATCTAACATAATCAAAATAATCCACGAACAGTTAAGCCTTGTTTATACGGTAGTCTAGCACTTCCCGAAGGTGAAACTACCTTGAAAGACTCACGATCAATTGAGGGTCAAACTTTCTAAATTGGGTCAACGGGGCCCGCGGGGCCCACGACCTCCCATTCCCGATCCGAGAGTTCCTACGGATTCAACAAGGTTTAGGAAACACATCTCGCAAGTCTGGTCCGACTCGGACTGTCGGATCGCTCACGATCTCACGATCGCACGATCAGATTATTATCGAGAAACCCGAACTTTAAGTCATTGAATCAGAACATCCCGGGCTCCGATTCTCAATCCACAAAATCCTACACGATCCTAGAAGTGCCTAGATCAACATATCCTAATTTGGACCTGATCCAACTGTCCGAGCATATCGAACCCGAATAATGCACAATAGGCGTAAACCCGTTTGATAGCCAAACGACATCCGAATTGAAATCCGAGCACATCTAAGCGTTTGTGACAACACGAGGATCACATGAGGACAAAATCTGGCCTCACCACCTTGCCCACGCACCGCCACACGTGCTGACAGCGCGTGGGTGTGTAGAGTAATTTTCGGCGACGGAAAAACTCCACACCGCGACTCACCCTTCCTACCCTAGCTAGTACTCGAGGCGGGGATCATTTTATCCAACTGTGAGGAGGTCCAATTTGGATGACAACCGGCCGGAATTTCAATTTGAAATCCAACCAAAACCTAGGTTTTAAGAATCGTCGAATCTCCTCTTCCCCAAAACAAACCATCCTTTACTAATAGTCGTGCGAATTGACCCTTCAGTGACTTTTATTTTTCTTATTTATTTTTTAAATCGACGACTTGTGTGATTGGGAAAGGGGCTGACTGGAGTTATTACGGTGTAGAGACGAAACTACACTTTGAATAGTGACAATTTAATGGACTATTGGATGTTAAAAAGTTGATTTAGACGATAGGGGGGAATTGTTGATAAAAAAAAAATTCGTATCCTTAATTTTCTAAAAAAGAAGGGTCATGGTGCAAATTAAAAGTAGGTACAAGTTTAGGGGTTAGATTGACAGTTAACCCTTAACCCTTATTTATAATCTCAGCTATTACACGCATATTATATTACATATTTGATCGGGCCTCAGCAAGCCTAAATAAGCAGGACCAGGCCATTTTTTGGCTCAATGGGGCCGTAGACATGTGAGCTTGAGCCATCTGCCATCCTCAGCCCAAAAGAAATTATTCGATAACATCAAGAACCAACAAACCAATCTCAAGTCGATTATACCAAAGTTTTTCTTCTTGCTCATTTTAGTTTCAATTTTGCATATTATTTCGTCACATATTATTTTTAGTTTCTCTTTCCCTCCCTGTAATGTCTATGTGATCGTTAGTTAACATCAAAATTAATCAATGGGTTCTACTGCTGCCGCTGCTGCTGCTGTGAATATGGCGTCGTTGATTACTGCCATCCCTGTTTCTTCGACAAAATTGAACTTCAATGACAAATTTACATCTGGGTTTCATTTCAAACGAGCTAGGGCCATCGCCAAAATCACTGCCATCTCTCCCAACGGCTCTGCTTCTCCTTCTTCTTCACATGGGGTTAGCTTCTGTCTCTTGCCCTTCTCTTTTCGTGCATATTCTTTTATTTTCCTTGAATTTCTGTTTTCAGTTGTTGATTTATTGGAGAAAGTAGTAGTGGATTGGTTGCTCATCGAATTGGCATCCCTAGGAGTTCTTTAATTTCTCCTTAACTTGATTCATTAATTTCTATCCCTTTTGCATTGTTGTGGGTTGACCGTGTTTTTTTTTGGTTGAGCAAATAACCTTTTATGTTTGTTGGATTTTACTGTTGATAAAGATTTACTGAACCTGAAGATCAAAGATAATAAATTTAGAAGGAGCAATATAACCAATCAAAGTACACATGGGCATGTGCTTAACGCAAATATCTGTTGATTTTCTGGTTCCTTTTGGTTTTTATTTCCTTCTTGTTGACATTCAGTATGAATTAATTTAGTTCTTCAAATTGCTAATGCTATCTAGAGTTCCATTTCTCGGTGTGTGCATGTTTGTGCATTTAGCTGTGTGTCCTTATGTACACATTGAGGATAGATTGAAGACTTCTTCATTTTTGTAACTAATTGAGATTTGAAGTATCCTGTAATCATATATTCTTCCGTAAAAGTATATGATGAGTCTAAATCTCTTACAACATTTATTTGGTGCTATAGGCTGAATGCTCAGCTGGGAATGTGGATAAACGAAGAAGTAGTCTTGAATCTCTGTTTTGTTATGATATGGCTGTACCAGAAGAGAGAATTGAGAAGCCTATTGGGATATCTTTGGTCGAGAAAGTCATTGGAAATAAGCCCCGATGCATTGATTGTGAAGCCAAAGGTGCCATCCTTTGCACCACTTGTTCTGGTTCAGGCCTGTATGTTGATTCAATATTGGAGAGCCAGGGCATTATTGTCAAAGTCCGCTGCCTAGGTAAATAACTTTTCTTCCTCTAAAAGCTGAGTTTTACAGACACATGTGCAAGCACGTTGGACATTCTTGCACTCCCATTTATAATTTGACTTCTAGCAAGTATGAGTTACAATTTGTTTTGATTAGTATGGTCTTTGCCAACTTCAAAATTGGGTTGTTTGTTCAAGTTAACTATAAAATGAAAATGCAGTACATTACACAAATATGCAAAAAAAAATTAAATGGATTGTATTACCAGTAACAGCTTGGAGAAGGGAGGGGAGGGGGGGCGCGGGGTGGTTAACCTTACCACCTTCTGACTAAAGAGCCAAGGACAAGTTAGTTGTTTGTTTTTGTCAATTCTTGTTCAGAACAGACTTTACTAATTTTCTATAGAAGGTAGTATCAGTAGTAACATCTTGTCATTTTTTGATGTTATTGTGTATTATATATACTTAGGCTCTATCATTCTCTTCCAAATTTCTCCCCGAAGTGAGGTCAAACGGAGAAAGATCACAACTTTGGCTTCATGGATTGTTACTTTGTTTGAAATGAGTTATGCATAAGATCGTAATTTGAAGGCCAAGAAGTCTTGAGCTAGAATGGATGTTTTCCATCTACTTAAATAAGTTGTTATGATAGTGTGGAATTTAAACTTGAATACTTTCTCCACAAGTTATTGAACTCTAGGTGTCTATAGGTAGGTTCAGAATTTTTTTGAATTTTGGTACTCTTTTCTTATGTGATTGTTTGATTTGGATGAGTGAAATTTTATAGTTGATGATAGCCGTTTAAGAAGAGATGGCTCCACTTGATTGTAAATAATACATAGTATTGATTATATAAGACGAATGATAATATGCTAATGCTATAATTATTTCATGTAGGTTGTGGGGGAACCGGTAACATTATGTGTTCAGAATGTGGTGGCCGTGGCCATTTAGGATGACCTACTGGTTTGCTTATCTTCATTCTTTGCATTTGTTGCATGTGCAAGTAACTTGTATTATCGACATAAAGCCTTCTCGTATTCATTGGTTCATGGTGGCTGATTCTACGATAAATCTGTATTCGGGTGTAACAGTAATGTATGTGATTCATTTAGTTTTGGCAATGCTATTCTCCCTCAGATTTTGTGCGCCCTTTATCATGTTGAAATTCTCAGAACTGCATATGCTTTACAGACAAACAAGCATCAGAGTTGCCTTCAGCAAATTAAGCTTAAAAGATAAATAAAGGGAACTTCAATGTAAATCTGTTGTCTTTTGGTAAAATTTGAACCTATATACAAGAACGAAAGTTACAAGTTTTCATGTAGTATAACCAACAGAATAAATGCTAGGTCGTAAATTCCATGGTCTGGTAAAGATGGAGTCTAAGATTATGGACATATACAAGCCGAAAAATCACTAGTTTTTATGTTTAGCAGCATCTTATCTCTTGTGGTACTTTCCTATATATCCATCTTAAATGATTTGAGAATGAGTCTTTAGTCCAACTGCTCCTGAGATAGGCATGACTTGTTAATAGCTTGCAATTGTTATGCTTGAAATCTCTGGAGCTCATCAAGGCGAACGGGGATGGTCGAGTCAAAGCGAACGCTCTCTGGATTTTCTGCATAAGCCACATAGTAAGACAAAACACATGCTTGGGGCCATGCCATAGCAATCCTACACTGAAATCACAGACATCAAAGCCAAAGTCAGAAGACATCAAGGTATTGATATTTGTAAGGTTATGGGCAAAGAGAATGTACAGCTAGAGTTATTTACCATGAAATAGCCGATGAAGAATGCATAGATTGAAACTTCTGTAGCATAGCTCTTATGAATCGCAAGAGCCCAAGTTCCACTCGCTAGGCTGCATATTGCACCTGCTGCCACCCCAGAAAGAAAGCAGAATGATCCTGTGAGATCCAAGTCGATTAATTCTTTTAATCCTGCACTCCTGAACATCTCCCAAGTATCTGATGATGCCTGCACGAAGCCCTTATCATACCCCCCTACGTGCACAAAACCCCACCGGTTCCCATACATTACCAGCGTTGAAGCCATTCCTGCATAACAGTTGGCACATGAAAACAGAAACTCGTCGGTATCCCCTGCAACCAATTTCATGCCTCGGGCAGAGCCCCGAATAACCCCGAGAACTGGAACCAAGATGGAGCCAATGCAGATACTCCCCATCAAGTGCTTAAGGGTGTCGCGGAAAGCCTTAGGTGTGTCAATATCTGTTCCCCATGCAAAGTGCATGTACTTGATGCGTGAGACAGTAACAAGAAGTATGTTCTTGATTACTTGCATAGTCCATGCCATGCTCAGCAAGATTACTGAGTGGAACAGCACATTCAAACTACTTCTGGTGGCAGTGGCTCTTCCAATGCCGGACACCAAGAAACATGAGTAAAGAATGCTGATGAAAATTGACTGAAGGACTAACATGGTAGTTTTAGCAGGAGGGAAAGCAGTGGAAACTGATAAAATCCGGATGGCATATTCAAAACGGGGACTGACCCAACAGGCATACAGGGATTGAATGAGGGCACAAATGACTGCAACCACGCCTGCGGCCAAACTTTGAGCAGAACCTACAGATACAAGCAGTACACCGACTGCACAGGTTAGCAAGGGGCTAAGCCAAAAGGCAGCTTTGATAGCTTTGGAAGGGTTTGAGTCAGTGACCCATTGCCATATGAAAGCAACAATTGCAGAGCAGGCTGTTGAAGTGAGCAATGGAGGATAAAACTTGAGGGGTTGAAAATGGTGATTGCGAGAGGTGGAGATGAGGCCATACAGTGTAAGGAAGACAACGAAGATGGCAATGAGGATCAAGTGCAAGTAAAAAGTATTGTAAAGAGCCTCCTGAGGAATTTCCCAGCCGTGGCTGTCTCAGTTGGAATGATGCTAGGCTCTTGTGCCTGCATCCACAGCAAATCAACTGGATATATCAATCAACAAGAAAGTCAACTGGTGAAGTTCAAAGATAAACCAAATTGGTACTGGAAATTTAGATTGGAAAGAGGGAAATTTCAAGGAATTTGAAAAGGGGAGAAAAGAAAGACGAGCAAGAACAAGAAAGAAACAAGAAATGGGTGAAAGAGATGAGAGAGCCAGAGAAAGAAACAAGAACCTTGATGTGGTTGGTGAATGAAGGCCTATCTTCTTCTTCTTCTTGAACTTCTCTTTGGATGTTCTTTGAAGTTGCACTAGTTGAATGAAGTTCCATCATTTGACCTTGTTGTTTAAAATATATATACATATATATATATATGTGTATCTTGAATTTCTACAAGTTCCTTTGCCTCCAAGATTAAACAAAATGAGATGGATGGAAATTTCCCAGGTTCGAATTAAAAAAATGATATGTATAGTTTGCATTGAACTGACCAACTCTTAGACTCTCTCCAATTTGCTTGAGATTGATTAGCTTGTTGGTCACGCTCTTTCTTTGCGTCATGCGTGGCTTTTAGTTTTGCTAATTAGGCAGCTCACCGCGGTGACGTGCTGAATTAGAGTTGAACTTCTGGCCCTGTGTTTTCCCTCGTGAAGCTGTTGGGTTTTTTACTTTTCTTTTTCTTTATTCCCGAGAAAATCCGTTGAGGCTTTTCTGTTACTTTTTCTTCTTTATTTCAAAGAGGTGGAACACAAGGAATTCCAAGTTGTTTGATCTGTTAAAAAGGAGAGATGTTTCTTTGGTTCATCTGCTAACTGACTTTTAACTTTTCGAGTTGCTCATCACTTTGGCTGCAAAGATAATTACAGGATTGCCCTTCAACTTGTAATTACACACTTTTTAAAAATATATCTATATATATAAAGTAAAAGACAGAGAATGGTGAAACATTCAAAATACCAGAAAATACCATTGGTTAATGTAAACATTAGGAATTGAAATTATTAATTAAATAAGGATAATATGGTAAATTTACACTTTTCATATTAAAAAAATTAAAATTAAAAGAAAAATAAGATAATGGATCATATTTTTATGGAACACAATTACCCATTATCTTTTTTAATTCTAAAAATAAAAATAAAAATAAAAAAGAAAACCAATTGGCACATGCTTTACGCATGTGCCAAGGGGCTAGTATATATAAAGCAAAAGGGAGAGAATGGTGAAACATTCAAAATACCAGAAATTGCCCTTGGTTAATGCAAATATTAAGAATTGAAATGATTAATTAAAGGAGGGTAATATGGTAAATTCATACTTTTTGATATTAAAAAAATTAAAATTAAAAGAAAAATCAGATAATGGATCCTATTTTTATAGAACACAACTACCCATTATCTTTTTTAATTCTAAAATAAATTTAAATTTTTTTAAAAAATACATCTCATAGGTGCGGAAGCGCATGTGGAGAGACTAGTGAAAAAGAAAGTTACAAAATATATCTGCAATGTTTGTCCTCCGTAGCTAAAAAGTAAGCAATTTGATTGGCTTCTGAAATTACCTGTAGGATGACTAAAAATGTCTAGAAATGGGTGAATATGCCAATTTAAAATTATAATCAATAAATAAAAATAAACTTCTATAGCATGATTGATATGGCTTATCAATCCTGAAACGTGCTGAGCATAAAATAAAGGAACAAGCAGAGAATTATTTTACGTGGTAAAATCCCACCTCTAGGGAAAATTCACGGGACTCTTCAGTTCTAAACAAATCTACTATAGAACAATGATTATAAGAAGTACTCACACACTTATCCTAGACACATTCTTTATAATGTTTATCGACTTCTTCATAAGTCAACTTCTGTCTCGGGATGATCTTTCAACACTTCTTATGTTGAACACAATACTGGTCACAATTGCTTCAAGCTCGCCGGAGACAAACCGCCACCACGGTTTTGGTGCCCTCAATCATATGAGTCACCAAACATGCAAATGAATACAATATGAATTATGGAAGTATTTGATAAATCACCAAGTAAATATGGAACACTTGACCTACTTTTGTTAGGAAATTTAGATGCTCAACCAAAATATCTAAAAGCTATATTTTTAACCTAGGCAGCATGTCCTATCTTTTTATAGACCTATTCTCATTTTTCAAGGGAATTGCATAAAGCCAAGAGATCAAATCTTGCCTAATCAGATTTGATTATTTATACAATTTCGTCAGCTTATGCATGCTTTAAAATAACTTCCAATCCTATCAATTTATACAAGGAAATAATATATACCAAGATGAAACAATGAAACCAAATAGGACGTGCTCTCCAAGTCAAGGATGAAAAAGGATATTTTAACTTAAACCAAAATAAGGTCCAACTATGAAAATAATCTCAAGAGATAAAATTTAATCCTATTAAAAATAGGACTAATATAAAAGCATTTGAGTGAAAATAACTCTAGCTAGAAATCCTATAATGAATGCATGATTATGTCATGATTTACTTGAAATCAAGTTCCTCATATCGATCAAGTCTGTTGACGTGAGTCTTGTAACACCCTGACTCCAAGTAAATTTCCAATTTAAAGTATTTAATCTAATTAAATGTGAATTTACGAAATTACCCTTGGGGCAGGGTAGTTTGGTCATTTTCTTGTCCGAAAGGATTTTGGGACCCCTTGTGGTTTGGTTGCGTAGGTGGTTCTGAGATGAAATCGTAGACAGGCGGTAGGCCTAAATCGGAGTTATAACGAGGTCTCGGCAATCAAGTTTCCTTCGGTGGCAAAATCGTAATTAATTTGAGAAGCGATAGGGTTAAAATCATAAATTTCACTTATACCCCTACACTTTCTCTCTCTCTCCCGAGCCCTCCTCCCTTCGCGTAAACCACCCCCCCCCCGAGCCACTGTTCACCCGAACCGGAAACCACCACGTTGCCACCACTTCCGGCCACCTCAGCCCTCGAGACCGGTCCCAAAAGTTTCGTCTCAACGTCCCGGTCAAGACCCAATAGCTTTCGTCCCCGGAAAACTCGAGAACAGCCGGCAGTTTCGACTGGTTCGTTTCGGGATTTTCCAATCGTTACGCCATCGTCTCCGCTGCCTTTTTCTGGTGTTTGAGGTGAGGTTTCTTCCTCTCTCTATTTGTTCTAGCTGACTGTTGCATAGGATTTGATCAGTTCGTAGCATAAAATCCGATTTGAGAAGCTAGGTTTTGGCCGGTTTTCAATTCGAAATTCCGGCCAGTTCCCGGCGGTTTTGGGCTTGGCTGTAGTTGAATGAAGTGCTCCCCTAGTTGAGTAGGACCTGTAACCGGGAGGGTGACTTGTGATTTGGAAATTTTCCGTCGCCGGAATTTCTCTGCACACCCGCTTGCTGCAAGCGCGTGTGGCGGCGCGTGGGCAAGTGTGGTGGAGCTGTAAATTGTTCCAGTGTGATCCTTAGGTTGTCACGAGCGCGTAGGATTTCACGGATCTCGATTCCGAGGTCGTTTGACTATCAAACGGATTATCGCATATTGTGTGTTATCCGGGTTCGATATGTTCCGACCGTTGGATCGTTTTCAAATTGAAGTATGTTACCCTAGAACACCTCTTTCCTCGTACTCACTAACCCGGGAAGCTAGGGTTTTATTTTAACATTCTGTTTCGAAACGCTTGTTGTTAATCGCATTGTCGTATTCTGAATCATGTACTCCGACCCCGTATACGTAGCAGGCGGGACCCTCTCAAGGTCAAACTGTGTGGGACTACTTGTGAGTGGACTTTTCTTTCAAACTTTAGCATGACTTTAGTTATGGAAAATATGGCATATTGCTTTATTTTGTTTATTGACTTTGGTATATATTTGAATATGAAATTCGTGGTTTTCATAAAGTTTTGATAATATGTTTGAGTTTTGAGAATATATACGCATATGGTTATATGTGGGGTACTTGGGAGGTTAATATGAGTTTGTGTAAAGGTGTGATTATTTGATATGATTGTTTGGAGTGCTTTAAGCACTATCCTATGTACCTCCCCGGATCTGAAACTTGATTACTGATACTGGATACACTTGGAATTATTTGAGTTCAGGACATCCTTGAGGGGATGTTGCTGTGGACCCTGGATTTGGGGTAGTCTGCGTGCGTAGGACTGGTATTTCAGGCGTACAAGGTTTGACTGTGTCGGCTGTACGTGCTGGCTGAGAGTTTGTTCCCCAGTTGGATGGCTTGTTCCCTAGACACATGGTGCATTGAGGAATGACTCTGCCATGTGGACTAGTCAAACAATCCCCCGGTTGGATTGTTTCCCCGGTACAACTAAATTGTGGTTATATTTATATATTCTTATTATTATATGTTATATTACTATTATATATATATATATGAATATTCGGTCGTTCTTATTTCTCGGTAAGGATACTTCCTCGCCAGTTGTACCATTGGGTACGTTTTCGAGAGTTTAATCTCTCGGGGCTCTTAAGCTTTTAGTGGTGGGTTTTGTGAAGTGTGATTCACGGATTTCGGATTTGGTATCCGGTATGATTTTTAGTATATGTTTATATACTGCTTATGACAGTTTTATTATGCATCTGGATTCGTTGCATGTGTTTTATAAAGGTGGGGTTATATTATTTTGATTTAACTGAACTGACTTAATTTTCGTCCACTCACAATTTTCTGTTTTGCGCCCCCAGCCAGTAGCAACTGAGCTCCACGGTCGAGCCGGACCGGGTGCTCTCGAAACTTGAATCTTCGTAGGGACTCCTTCACCTTTTCCTTTCAGTTAAACTGTACTTCTGTTGTTTTTGAATTTCTTAGATATGCTCTTTATCGCCCGCTGAGGGCTATGTTGCACGGACACGAGTACGGGGACACGGGAACGCACACAGGGACACGGTGACATGGAAAATCTCAAAAAATTAGGACACGGGTACGGCTAGGACACAACAATTAAAATAATAATTTATTCTCAATACTTCACTGTTACATAATTCCATAAAACAAAACAAATAACTGATGTTCATTATCCATACAGAATAATTAATAGACCACAAAATAAAACATAAATGATCTAACTCTCAATCTTTTTCAAGCATCTATGTCTTCATTGTTGTTGTTATTATTTATTGTGTTTCTCTTTAAAAAAAAACAAAAGAAAGAATTGTCAACTCACCACCAAGTCCAACTCTTCCACTGCAATGGAGGGAGATAAGAAAAGAAAATAGAGAACATAAATAAATGCATTTGAAAATAGAGAAAAAAAAATTTGCAAAGAGACTTACCTTGTGCAAAACCAGGAGAAGGGGAGGAGAAGAGCTGTGACGGAGGAAATGAACTTCGGCAGCAGAAAAAGTGAGATTTAGGTTTAAAAAAGTCTTTTTTCACTTTTAGCCCCTATTTTTAAAAATATTTCAAATCAGTCCACCAAAGTTTCAAAAATCCGTTTAGACCCCAGATTTTATTTTGAAAATTTCAAACTGGTCCCTACCGTGTCTTGACCGTGTCAGAGCTGTGTCTTAACCGTGTCGGAGCCGTGTATTGACCGTTTCCCAACCGTTGACCATGTCCAATGCGTGTTCGACACTCCGACACTCCAGCAGTTTGGAGTGTCCGTGCAACATAGGCTGAGGGTATAAATCGTGAGGCTGGAGGCCTTTGTTGTAAATTGTTTTATTGCTTGTAAAGCATGCTACCAGTTGGTTGTTTATAACTGTAATTATGAACAGGTTGAAGTTTGGGAATGTTCATTTTACAGGGAAGACTCTGTCAAATTTTTGATAGAAAGTCTCGGTCTTTAGTAAGTGGGCCCGGCATCGGGGTGATGTCGGAATTTAGGCGAGGTCCGTCCCGGTTTCCGAGGAGATTTGGGGCTGGTCCTGTCAAGTCTCGTAATTAATCAAGGAGATTTACTTTCCTAATTCTTTACTATATCTAATTCCTTGTAAGATCCTCATGTAAACTCCTATATATACCTACTTATGGAGAAGAATAAAACTCAACCTAATACATTCAAACCATATTCATATTTTAGCATGGTATCAGAGCAATCGATCCTAGGTTGTCTCTAAACCTTTATCTCAAATTTCTCATATTCAAATCCCAAACCCTAAATCAAATTCCTCACATTTTCCCCAAATCCAAATCCCTCAAATCCTCTTATCAAAATCCCTAAACACATACCCACAAATCTTATACACATACCTCTCAAATCTAATTCCTACATCAAATTCCTCTAATCACAATTCCTCATATTCTCATATCACATCTTACTTCCGCTGCAATGTCAAGAACCCTTACGATTCTCCTCCTTATTGCAGACTCAAAGAAGCATGTGGTCAATCCTGTTGGCCAGTTACTTGGACTCATACTTCTCTCGCCACCACCAAAGGTTCTACTTTTCATACGTCATCTCAAAAATCCGCATGGATTATCGACTCAGGTGCTACGGATCACATGACTTTTGATCATAGCCAACTTATTAGTCGCAAATCATCCACTCCATCGGCCGTGTCTAATGCTAATGGTACCCCCTCCTCTATGGTTAGGAAGGGCTCTCTATCTCTCTCTACTTCCATACATATGGATTATGTATTACTTGTTCCATCTTTGGACCATAACTTGTTATCTGTTGCACAACTTACTACTACTTTGAGATGTACAGTAACTTTTTAGCCGAATCATTGTGTTTTTCAGGACATCCTCACAGGAAAGACGATTGGTTGTGGTACTCGACGGGGCAAACTTTACTACTTAGACTGGGCATCGGATAGTGAGGTCAAGGTTGGTCAAGCTTTCAGAACCAGTAGAACTTGTTTTGAGGGGGAGAGAGACAAAATTTGGTTATGGCATAAACGTCTTGGGCATGCCTCATTCGGTTATCTTAAGAAGTTGTTTCCATTATTATTTTCCAGTCTTGATGTTTCCAGCTTCTAGTGTGATACGTGTGAATTGGCTAAGAGTCATCGTGTCCCGTTCCCATTAAGTTCAAATAAGAGTTTGATTCTGTTTTTCCTTGTTCATTCTGATGTTTGGGGACTTGCTAAAATTGCCACTCCGGCAGGGGCACGATGGTTTGTCATGTTTATAGATGATTGCACACGCATGACTTGGGTTTCCCTGCTCAAAACTAAAGGGGAAGTCAGTTCCAAGTTTCAACAGTTTTATCAAATGGTGGAGACTTAGTTTCATGCCAAAATTTAGGTTCTTCGTTCTGACAATGGCGGAGAATTTCTAAACCATGATCTTAACCAGTTCTTACAAGATCATGGCATCATACATCAACGCTCATGCCCTTACACTCCCCAACAGAATGGGGTGGCTGAAAGAAAGAACAGACACTTATTGGAAGTCATTCGTGCCTCTCTCTTTGGTGCCAATATGCGACGACACTTTTAGGGCGAAGCCGTGGTCTTTGCAGCATACCGTATCAATCGAATTCCCTCTAATATCCTAAATTTCCAAACACCACTTCAAACACTTCACCACCATATCCAAACACCTCCCACCCCAAACCTATAACCCCGAATTTTTGGCTGTGTTGTATTTGTCCACTTACATGATCACCAACGAAGTAAATTGGATCCCCGAGCCGAAAAGTTTGTTTTCATTAGCTATGCACCTCATCAGAAAGGATACTGGTGTTATCATCCTCCTAGTCAAAAGGTCTTTACCTCCATAGATGTGTTTCGAGAACATGACTTATATTTTTCAACAGCCTAGGAGGAGAATCGAGAATCCACCACTACTCCAATTCTCGATTTTGTTCCCCAGGACGTCACTCTGCATCAAAATGATCGGTTGCTAGTGGAAAGCAACCGATCACCTCCCCTTAGTTCTTCAACTACAGAGAACCTGCTTCAAAACGACCGGTCGCCAGCAGACAGCGACCAGTCGCCAGAGGAAAATGATCAATTGTCTCCATGCTATCAAAATCGGGAGGAGGAAATTGAACCGTTTTATGAGATTTTGCCTTCTTCAGCTCTAGTACCGCACCAATCACCTGCTGAGGAAGTCATTCAAGTAACATATTTTTCTGAAACTGATAACACTAATGAAATATATCATGATGATTTGATTTCAGAAAGCACAGAGCCTACATATCAGCTTCCAAAAAGGAAGAACCGTGGCAAACCTCGAGTACAATATGAAGCAGATCTTAAAGCCAAAGGGAAATACCTCATCAATAATTATATATCTCTCAGCAGATTATCAGAGTCACATGTGCACTATGTGAAGCAGTTGGCTGACATATCTGTCCCCAACAGTGTAACTAAAGCACTAGAAGACCCAAAATGGAAAGAAGCTATGAATGAAGAAATGCAAGCTCTCCAAAAGAATGTCACATGGGAACTCATGCCCTTACCCCATGGAAAGAAGATAGTAGGATGCAGGTGGATTTATACTGTGAAACTTAAAGCAAATGGATCCGTTGAAAGATATCAAGCTAGATTGGTGGCAAAGGGGTACACACAGAGATTTGGGATAGACTACGTAGAGAGCTTTGCCCTAGTTGCCAAGATTAACACTATTAGAGTCCTATTGTCTCTAGCAGCAAATCTCAATTGACCACTACATTAGTTTGACATCAAAAATGCATTCTTACATGGAGACTTGGAAGAATAAGTATATATGGACTTAACCCCAGGCTGTAATTCAGCTCATGACAAGAAAAAACAAGTTTGCAAGCTCAGAAAATCATTATATGGGTTAAAGCAATCTCCCAGGGCATGGTTTGGCAGATTCACTAAATCTATGAAGAATTTTGGATATACATAGAGTAATTCTGATCACACCCTGTTCTTGAAGCATGATGAAGAAAAACTTAATGCATTAATTATTTATATAGATGACATAATCGTAACTGGAAACGACGCAGAAGAGCAACTGAAGTTGCAAAAGTATTTCTCCCAAGAATTTGAGATGAAAGATTTAGGTGATCTAAAGTACTTTTTCGGAATCGAAGTAGCAAGATCAAAAACTGGTATATTTCTGTCTCAAAGGAAGTATGTAATGGATCTACTCACTGAAACAGGAATGCTTGGATGTAAGCCTGCTGACACACCCATTGAGATGAATCACAAGTTGTGTGAAGATATGGACCAAGAACCAACCAATAAGGAACAGTACTAACGCCTTGTTGGAAGGTTGATATACCTGGCACACACAAGACCAAATATTGCATATGCTGTGAGTGTGGTTAGTTAGTTTATGCATTATCCCAGTGTTTCTCATAGGAATGCAGTTGATCGGATCTTAAGATACTTAAAGTCAACCCCTGGGAAAGGATTAATGTTCTCCAAAATGGAGATCTTGAAGTTGTTGGATACACAGATGCGGATTGGGCTGGTTTTATTACAGATAGACGCTTTAATTCAAGTTACTTTACATTCGGGGGAGGTGACCTAGTCACTTGGTGGAGTAAAAAGCAAAATGTGGTTTCTCGATCTAGTGCAGAAGCAGAGTATCGAGGAATGGCTCACAGAGTTTGTGAATTATTATGGATCATAAGACTCTTGACAGAATTGGGCTTTAAGCCAGAAAAGCCAGTGGAGTTGCATTGTGACAACAAGTCAGCTATCGATATTGCCCATAATCCAGTTCAAGATTATCGAACCAAACATGTTGAGATGGATAGACATTTTATCAAAGAAAAAATTGAGAAAAAGATCATCCGCCTACCATTTGTAAAATCAAAAGATCAACAGGCAGATATCTTAACCAAAGCTGTTTGTGGAAGAGTATTTCATGACTCACTTACCAAGTTGAGCATTAGTGACATATATGCACCAACTTGAGGAGGAGTGTTGACGTGAGTCTCCTAATTAATCAAGGAGATTTACTTCCTTGATTAATTAAGGGATTTACTTTCCTATTTTTTATATAAGTGATAAATCATTGTACAATTAGGAGATACTTTCCTAATTCTTTAATGTATCTAATTCCTTGTAAGATTCTCTTATATACCTCCTTATGGAGAAGAATAAAACTCAACCTAATACATTCAAACCATATTCATATTTTAGCAAAGTCATACTTCAAAAATCCGGGATTGAATGTGTTGCACTAAAACTTCCAATAAAAGCTATTCACACATTAATTCCCGAGCTACGCTAGAGTCTAGGAAATGCCAATACAATTTTCATACTAACAACTTCTCTATAGATATGGTGCATGATAATATGATAAAATTGCTTAAATAAGTGCAAAATGTCTTGAATAATTGTTCGAATGGACCAAGGGATCATCTTTGTGAGAATTTGAACTAAAATTTTGGAATCACCTTCAATTTCCAAGTTTTGAGGATGGGATATTGGTTCCACTACTAATAGTAACAAGGCTTTTTGTGATAAAACTTGGCACCAATTGAGCTATGTAGGTGGTTAAGTTGCTGTGAGATTCTGATTTTTTGAGGTGCTTAGAAAATAAGTTGTGATTTTTCTGTGGTTGTATTGAAATTTTGGGAGATAAGTTTAAGCTTGATTTTGGATTAAGAATTAGGCTTAAAATTGAATGGAAGAGAGGTTGTGTAATTTTGTGATAGGTGGAGAGTGTTTGTGCAAATAATCTCGCGGGAGAATATTCGCTTTGTGATTCTTCAACCTTCGATCTTCCTTCTCTCTTTTTCTCGATTCCTGTAAAAAAGACATGACTAAATAGACCACACCCGGGGGTTGTTGGCCAAAGGCCCTCCGATGCCTAAGTTATTTCGATTGAATCTAGGTGAAACAATAGCTAAAAATAAGGTATGAAGATTTCTCTAAGATGAGAATTGGGTGACCGGAGCCGTGTATGTAAAATATGGAGAGAAAAGAATGGTGTGGCTAGTGGCGGTAGTGGCATCGCTGGCAGCTAGGGAGAGAGAGAGAGAGAGAGAGAGAGAGAGATTGAAAGTTTCGGGTATTTTCTCAGGTTGTAGAATTAGGTTTTGAAGTACCTTGAATAATGAATGAAGCCATCTATTTATAGGAGCCTCAGAGGCTAGGTTTTGTAGAGAGTGAAACAATTATTAGGAAGGAGTTTATTCTTTCCCCCAAATTGCAGAGATTGAGTCCATTAGGGATTTGATTGGGATCCAAATCTCTTAATGATGATTATATCTCCTTATTAGGATAATATCTAAATTAATGGTATTATTTTATTAAATAAAGATAATATCCTATAATTAAGACATTATACCTATTAATTAATTGACTAAATAAATTGATTCAGTTAATTAATTTAAGGATATTCTTCCTTTCCACATGACATGCTATAATTGGAGACGAAAATTTTTGGTCTCATAGAGAGAATTTGTGATTTGGTGGCAAATCTCTACACTTGTATCTTCTCAAGTGCTTCACCAGTTTGTGTGCTATTAAAATACTAGGGAAGCATACTCTTTGCCTTCCCCTGTATCTGCCGTGTGTCCTTTGTCTCCCATGCTTTCCCTTTATGTTTCCCACGCATGGTCAGATTGTTACTTCCACAATATTCTTATTCCCTCCTCTTCCCAAGTCTGACCATTGATAACTCTCACACACAAATTTCCCCATTATTCTCTTCAAAGATGAGAGCTCCAGCTCTCCTTCTTCACGTCAGTCTTGTTGACTGCTTTGAAACCCATATCTCCTCAGCTCGAATCGAAATACTTCCTTCTTCACACTTGTTCATCTGCTTGTCAGCTAGAATATTTCAAAATTTGAGCCCAATCGAAGAAGTTTAGTTACCTCAAACGGAGTTTGAGTGTAAACTGTTCGTCACAGCCTGATTCTCTGTGTAAGGCTCGGGTTTGGCTTTGCATGTCTGTTTTCCACTACTCTTTTGGTGAAGTAGTCTTCATCAAATTTGTTCCTCCGTTTAAGAGCTATGGCATATCCAAAATTCAAGGCAATTGGAGATGTCTTTCTACCTGAAACCGTGTTCAAGGTGAGACTAATCTTCACTTTCGTTCTGTTTGCTGGTTTCACTCTAGTGTGAACTTATTCACTCTTGCATGTGGGCTTCCTCTGATCTAATGGCTTTGTTCCTTTCATTAAAGTTCTTTATCTATGTCTTGGCTATACTCTGTCAAAATTTGAGCTTCATCCAAGAAGTATAGCCATCTCAAGATGTGTCTTTAAGTGTAACATGTTCATCCTTGTCTGCTGTGTTGATGTAGGCTTGGATTCTATCTTGCATGTCGCTTTCCCTTCCTCTGATGAGAAAGGTTCCTTGATGAAAGTTGTTGAGAATTATGTTCTCTAGAACATATCCAAAATTAGTGGTCATCCAGAAAGTGTAGCCGTCTCGGAAGCGTTACGCACTAGAACAAGCTCCTTGTGTCCTTGTGCTGTTTTGGTGGTTGTTCTCATTGGGAGGTGAATTGAGGATTTCAGACCAATCCAGAGGATTGAGGTAAATATTTAAGATGTTTGATTTCTGGAAATCTGTCTTAGAGGTTGTATTCTTGAGGTTTTGTGGATTGTTGAGTTGGATACAAAGTTAAGTAAAATTTGTGAACTTTATTGAGGAATACTTAAGTTAGGTTCTCTAAATTGATCTTGAGATTTAATTTGGAAGATGAATTTTGTATTTTTGGGACAGAATTTAATTATTGGATATTAGAGGACATTTAGGTTGTGAATTAATCTCTTAAAGGTTGGATATTGTTGCCTTCGAGATCATTCTTGAAGATTGGGCTATGTGAGTTGATTTCAAATTGATTTAAGCTCGTGGTTTGAGGAATTGATTCAAATATGTTATTATATAATTTTAACTGTTTTTACTCAATCAGAGCTACCACTGAGGGGGAGCGATGTCGTACGTGTTGCTCACCCCTACAACTGCATTTTCTTTATGCCGGTGATCCTGTTTAGTTGGTGCGTGAGATGACATGGCAGTGGTGACAGTAAAAATCTGTTTCATTTTGTGTAACTCTGATTTCATTGTAAAATGGCTCGTATGAACTAAAAATTGAGTTTTCGATTATTTCGGCCTACCTTATGATTTACGTTTCCGCACCGTTTTCAAAGTATAATTTCTAACTCAAAAGCCTTACGTTCTATCGTAAACGTGGTGCTATGGTGTTCGGTTTTAACATTGTAGCACTACATTATCGATAGGGCATGGCGATGTCACATGCCCGATTTTCCAAGGCGTGGAACTATCACGTGCCCGGTGCCCGGTTTTCCGGGGCGTGACAATTGCCGATAATTTTAGTGTTGCTAATAATGGGCCACTGGTCCATCTTTCTTAAATTTAACGTTGTATCATAGTTGCCTAATTGATTGGGCTTGAATTATTGGCATTTACTCTTACTTAATATGTGTTGTTAACATATTGGGCTTGAATGATTGACTTCAATGTGGAATATGTGTTGTTAACATATTGGGCTTGAATGATTGACTTCAATGTGGAATTAGTTGCACATGTGGCCCAATAAATGTTGATCCCACAGGGGCCGTGTTGAAGAATATGTATATACTTTGTGTTGAAGAATATGTATACACTTCGTTTTGAATGTTTTATGAATTATGTAAAGAAGAGGAATATTTATATACTTCGTTTTGAATGTTTTATGAATTATATAAAGAAGAGACAACTGGACTATAAAGAAGAGACAATGTCGTGAATTCAATACTACACGATTTTAGACATATAAAAATAAAATTAACAATGAAAATGTCTATTATAAAGTCAGACCCAAATAGTTGTAGTCACAGAAAAATTTGAACAAGAACACCCCTCAAACAAAAAATAAATAAATAAATAACTGATGTGAAATTTTTATTTGAAGTAGTTTAGAAGGTAGTATTGCAATTAAATGGTGTGAAATTTATATTAAATGTATCAGTAGTATTGTAATAAACGAAACAAAGGCTCAAGTTATATAAACTTGTGGGCATCAATAACACGTCAATTTTAGGCCCAAGTGTATGATTTTGTTTTGGAGATCTAAAAGGAGTCTATCCATTATGATTGGTTTTTTTATTAATAAAAAAATTGATTATATTTTTTTTGGATTCCATGACCCATAAACTATAATAAAATTGATTATAATTTTTTTGGTCGACTACAAATTACTCAATGTTTGACAATTATGTTCCTTTGATATTAAATAAGTTGAATAATAGATTTAGCAATAGAGGTTTCAAATGGGTCAGGTCAACCCATTACCGCTTTGGCTTGTGCTTAGGTCGGGCCAAGGTTGCTTATTTATGAAAATTATTAAGTGCCTGTTTGGCATTACTTATTTGGGGTGATAAGTGATTTTTTTTTAAAATTTGGGTAGCCCAGCCCATTTGGTAAACTATGAGAAAATCACTTATTGTTAGAAATTGTTGTGAGAGAAAGATATAAGAGAAAGCAACTAATAAGGTGCTTTCATTTTCTGATTATGCAGGAATCAGTTTTGAAGAGAAGCTAGGTTTAATGATTATGCAGCAATCATTTTCTAATTATGTGAGAATCAGTACCAACAACACTTTTAACAAATGTTTACCAAACGCCAAACTGCTTTCTCTCACAGCAAATCTGACAGCGATTATTTTCATAGCACAGCAATGCTAAACTGTCCCTAAATTCAATTTGAGCATGCAGCCCTAGCCCATATGAGCTTAGGCTTGGCTCTAGTTGGGACACTAAACGGTCCAACATAGGCCCAAGCCAAGCCTGACTTATGTATTTCTTGCTTCTTATTTTTTTGTAGTTTTTTTACAATTTTATTTCAATATTTTTTTTTAAACAAGCATGTGTATACGAACAAGATTTCTTATTTGTTAGAAAAAGAAGCCAATTCTAGCTTATTGTTCAGGTTGAAAAAAATCGAAACTTGAAGAACAAAATCATAATTTTATTTATAAAGAAAGCATTGATTTTTAAAATCTATCATTAGAAAAAAGAACGGACTTAAATTGAAGATATAAATATAATAATATTGTACTCTTTTTCTCTTTAAAAAAATTTAATATTATAAATCAGTTTCGGGTAGGGTTGACAGTTGGGTTGAATTAACTCATCCAGAGTTGCCTATACGTGTTGGGCTATGCCGAGCTTCACTTTAATCAGGCTCGTGGTGGCCATCCAGATTTATACTCAAAGTTGACTTCGATGGTTGAGGGAGAGTCAGATGGCGAAGGGAGGGCTAGACAGCCACATTAAATTGATTTGAACCGTGAGACTCAACTGCATCAACTTGTTAGAGCCAGCTAATGACGAGGATTAAGAAGAAATCAAGGTCTATCAATTTCACCTGCAAAGAAGAAGCTGGTACAAAGTTGAAGCGTTTCTTTACCAAACTTTCAAAGTCAAGAGCCAAAGATTCTATAAATAAAAGCAAAAGATATGTTCCAAAGGACAACGAATCTCTCTCAAGAAAAAAAAACTTATTTGAACAACCTTCAAATACTCCCGACTCAGACACTTTGTCAAAATGTCTCACAACAGACCAAAGCCAAGACTTGAATCAAATCCTCTTCTACTCTTTGAGTTCCCAGTTGACAACTCCTAATTGGAATTCTCTTCTTTCCTCAAAACATACTCTGTCTAATTCCTAGTTCACAACTCCTGATTGGAATTACTTTGCTATTGTTTGTAATCTTAATGCTCTGCCAACATTAGTGCTTGGTATGATTTTATAAGTTGGTCACCATCTCTAGCTTATCTAAAATCAAATTCGTATCTACAGGCCTTTTTGGGCATTGCAGATATTGTTGACAACCCTGATCGAACACATTGTATTAGCTCGAGTGGATTGTAGTGGTGTCTGAGAAGAGTTGTTTATGTCCGATAAGATCCCCCTGGCCTTATTAGAATTTCTGTTGTTTTAATTAAGTGTGTTTAGGTTCATACGAATTTGTATTTGCTTTCCTATAACGATACTACATCCATTAGATACTTTTTGTCTTTGAACGTATTGTACTTTCTGTCCGATATTAGTTTCAAGTTTTTATTTCATAATAAGTGAAATGTTGAAGTCCTTTTAATCGGGGCATAGAAAAGAACCTATTCAAGCCAGATTCCTCACTTGGAGTACAATAACTTCGGTTAGAGGTTGAGATCAACAAGCACAATATATTCATCACATCATTTCACCACATTTCATCTCTTCCTACTAGGAGAGTAAAACACTAGTAGTGCCACGCCTAACGCACCTAAAGCGAAACGCCAGCATTGAGCCCATCCTAAGGGCTCAATCGATCATTTCTTAACCAACAAGCAACTCATAGCAGCCAAAATACAGCCTGTAAGAAAATTGGGGCATCATAGTGTTCACCAAAAAGCCCACATACACTTTTGGCATGTACACCCTTACTATGTGTATTGGTGTTGCAACAATCTTTGACACCAAATACAACTGCAGAAAACCTCTGACTATGCCCATTGGTGTTGGTAAGGTACGAAATTGTGTATTTTTGAGGTTAAAATACTAGGCTATATAGGTTTATTTATTTCCCCAAGCCTTCACTGGGCTACAACCCATTATGTTCCGCCAGTGCCTATATGGGTGTCCCTCAAATAAGCTTATTTGAGAGATCTTTCAACTAAAACTCTTTGTATATATATAGTTCACATATTTAATTTTACCCCCTACATTGTGTTCACTAATTTTCTTTTCTTTTTTTCCTTTTTTTAGAAGAGAAATTCCATTAATTTTCAAGAACAATATAGAAGAACCTGCATATATGAACGCAGCCTCATTAAAACCTTCTCAGGGAAAACCACAATGGAGAAAATCCTGAGATAGGAAAAAGAGTACCACACATGCATTAGACTACAAAATAGTTAAAAGAACAAAGACCAAACGATATAACACATAGCACAACTACAAGCGCAGCAAGGAACATCACACCACAACGTAATACTATCCCCCCAAACAAAACAAAGCACAACTACAAGTACAAGCCCAATAAAGAGCACAACTACTGGCCTTCAACCTGCCCCTGTGGTTAAGTGCGCTTGCACTAACTCCTGGTCTTGGGTTCGAAGGTTGGTACCACATTCTCTACAAAACCCAAAGAGCATCCCATCACAATATAACACTATCAAAGAAAACGACCTATGCACGCATAATTCTGTATACAGCGGGAACAATGTGTCATGAGCATCATAGAAGACCCGACAGAAACACCAACTACCAACTACCATCTCCTTTGGTTCTTAATCCAGACCCCCAAGTTAGGGGGAATTTTTGGTTAAAAAAAAAAAAAAAAAAAGAAATGGAGATTTTATTAAGTCCCTGTTATAAAGAGAACGACGGCAACACATCACCAGAACACTAATTAAAGCTCTCCTCTCACCCAACGAATAGACTGACTGACACATATGCATCGCCTTCTCTTCAAAGCAAGGAACCCAACAAAAGTCCCGAAGATCTAAATCCCACACACTTCCCAATCTCCCCCAACCTCTTCATTAATTTATCTTCCAACCTTAGCTTATATTTAGCAATCTCTTCTTAACCATTTTAACTACCTCCTTCCTTACAACTCTCCCAACCCTCTCTCTCTCTCTCCCCCTCCAATTTCTTCTTTTTAATGTTCTCAATCAAAATTTTCAGTAATGGGTATCAAAGCATTTGCGCTATCTTTCATGCTAATTTCAATTATTTTCTCTTTTGTATACATTCCAGCTAGATTAACAATACCCACCCACAATTTCAGGCCTATAATAAATTACTTCAACTCACCCAAATCCAGCAACACCACCACCAAGCCATATCCAGTCACATTTTCCTATCTAATCTCAGCATCCAAGGGAGATGCTCTGAAGCTCAAGCGCTTGCTCTATGCCCTCTACCATCCTGGAAATTACTATCTGATTCACATGGACTATGCAGCCCCAGAGGCTGAGCACAGGGACATCGCTGACTTTGTGGCTGGAGATCCAGTTTTTGGGCAAGTGGGTAATGTTTGGGTGCTGGGAAAATCCAACTTGGTCACATATAGAGGGCCCACAATGCTGGCTACCACTCTTCATGCATTGTCTCTGCTCTTGAGGACTTGCAAATGGGATTGGTTTATCAATCTCAGTGCTTCTGATTATCCTCTAATCACTCAAGATGGTATGGTGAGTGCTGTTTTTTTTGGTTTTTTTTTGTGTGGGTTTTTCTTTCTTAATCTCTTGCATTAATAATTTATACTTGTTTTCTTGAATTTTTGTTTTTGTTTTTGTTTTTTGTTCAGATCTGATGCATTCATTTTCTGATTTGCCAAGAGATCTCAATTTCATACAGCACAGTAGTCGCTTGGGGTGGAAGCTGTAAGTTATTTTCTCCTTCATTTAACCTGTGATATACAAGCGATATTGGGGAAGGGGATTCGAAACTCGGTTTAAAATACTTATAAAAAAAGCTAAGAAATTTTGCAGGAATAAAAGAGGGAAGCCAGTGATTATAGACCCCGGACTCTACAGCCCGAATAAATCAGAATTGTGGTGGGCTATTAAACAGAGGGATCTCCCAACAGCTTTCAAGCTGTACACAGGTTCAACTTCAACCTCCAAATCTTCTGTGCTTGTTTTATTTTAATTTTATTTGCCCTAGAATTTTGGGGCTAATGGCACTGTAGTAGCAGCATGTGAACTAATGAACAAAACACACGCATCCAAACGTGCGCTAGGACATTGTACACGTCTTGTGGACATGATTTATTTACTTTTGTGTTTCTCTTTTTCTTTTTCTTTTCTTTTTCTCAAACTACAAGTTTAGCTACTGTGGAAAAATATGCCTTATAAATAAAACTAAGATAAGGTAATTTTTATACAAATTTATAAATAAACCCAATCCTAGACATGTATTTATAAAAAACTCCAAATACTATTTAAACATAGAAACACACCCAAAATTAACCTCAAAGTCAACTTTTTGGGTGTGTTTATAAATGGGTTTTGAGTGTGTGTAATGATGGGTTTTGGGTGTGTTTATATGTTTAAATAGTGCTTGGGTTTTTTTATAATTTCAACCCCCATTTTGGGTGTTTTAGTAAAACTCCCTAATTTTTAAGGTAAGCAGAAAACCTATACTAGACGTAACACATGATTATGTTACTGTAGTATTCTATAATCACTCCAGGTCGAGAGCATGGTTAATTCTCCGTACTAAATGAGCATCATTTTTTCTATTTGTGATTTAATATAAGGTAAAGTGGTGAGGCAAGAAAGAAGAAAAATCATCCCAGAATATATATAAGGTCAAGTGTCACCTTACGTACTTAGCTGGAAAGTCAACTACTTCTTCTGAGATCAAATTGAGTCCATCACAAGATGAAACTAAGTAATAGGTTATGTGAATTGTGGTTGTTCTCATTTGTAGCACCGTCAGATGTCCTTTTCACCCTTTTCTTTATTTCCACTTATTGCTGCCATGATATATTTAGATGCATCACGTTTCTTCAAAGATTATGTGCTTTCCCCTTTTATTTTTTTTTCTCCCCATACCGACCACTCCACCTACCTATTGTAGGCGGCACCAAACTAATAATTAAACACATCCTAATCGAACACACACACACACACAAAATAAATAATATATATATATATATTTTTTTTTAAATTTTGGACGCGGATTGCCTCTTCCTTGAAGGGGGATATTCCTTCTTTTGGCGAATCATGGTTTAACATGTATACAAAAATAATTCATTAAAAATACAAAATGAAAATTTTATACACACTTGTCAAATTGTGATTTACACGAATAATTCATTGTTATACATATTACATAACGAGTAATGTTAAAATCACCACATTTAGTCACTGGATATGTCACCACATAATGTGTGAGTGTATGTATGAGTACCTTGTTAGTGATAAAATAAAATTTCTAGTGAAGCCAGACTCTGTGGTGTCATTTGTTGAATAAAATTTGATGTATCCTTAGCCGTACTCATATATTAATAAATCTCTCTCTTTGCTTTCACTCCAGGTTCAGCTTGGACAATTCTCTCAAGATCTTTTGCCGAATATTGCATAGTGGGGTGGGACAATTTGCCAAGGACTCTCCTACTCTACTACACCAACTTTGTGTCATCACCCGAAGGCTACTTCCAGACAGTCATATGCAACTCCCAAGAATACAAGAACACCACTGTCAACCATGACCTCCACTACATTACATGGGACACGCCTCCAAAGCAACATCCCAGGTCTCTGGGACTCAGAGATTTTCCAAGAATGATTCTAAGCAACCGTCCTTTTGCTCGAAAGTTCAAGAAAAATGTACCCATTCTTAACAAAATCGATCGCGAACTTCTTAAACGACACCGTGGACAGTTTTCTTATGGGGGATGGTGTTCTGGGAGTAAAGGGCAGACGCAGAAGATGTGCTCAGGTTTGCAGGGTGAAAACTATGGTGGGTTAAGGCCCGGACCGGGGGCTAAGAGGTTGAAATCTTTGTTAAAAAAACTCCTCTCCACAAGGAAGTTTCAGAAGCAACAATGCAAATGATTCTTTTAGTAAAAACTGAATAAATATCGCATGCTTGTAATTATGTGTTGTCCATGATTTTTTTTAGAATTTTGGGTTTCTATATCTCTAGGATGATACATGATAACAGTAGAAGAATACTGAGAAAATGAAGAAGAAAGAAGGAGGAAGAAGAAGTCTGAGAATAGAAGGCTGTGTATTGATTATTATTAAGAATGATTACAATGTAATAGTACTTATATAGCAAACTAACAAACTCTCTTAACAATCTAACAGAACACGTGTATGGTTATATGGTTATCATTCCCCCTCAAACCCAGCTGAGCTGCTAAGTTGCAGATTCCTGCAATGTCTCAGAAAAATAGGACCATGTAATCCCTTTGTGAAGATGTCTGCTACTTGTTCTTCAGTGGGAATATACTGCATAATCACTTATGTACTCTTTCTCTTACAAAATGAAAGTCAATATCTAAATGTTTGATCGAGAATGATACACAGGATTTGAACTTAAAGCAAGGGCTGAAAGATTGTCACAATGTATTGTAGGAGGCTGTGGTAAGAATATCTTTAAACAAGTAAAACTTGTCAAACCCAAGCTAGATCAGCTGCTGTATGAGCTACTTCTTAGGATTGTTGCCAAGATAAACCACAAAACCAGTAGTTGATCTGCGAGTATTCACATCTGAGGCCCAATTTGCATCACTATAAGCATGAAGATCCCAAGATCCGCTTGTAAAAGTCAGACCACGATCCAAAGTACCATGAATCCATCTCAAGATGCGCTTAACCAACTGAAAATGTAAATATGAAGGTTGAGTCATATACTAATAGATAGTATTAACAGCATAACAAAGATCAGGTCGAGTGAATGTCAAATACTGATGTGCCCCAACAATACTCCTGTAGATGGTTGGATCAGATAAGGAGTCACCCTCCGAAGCCAAAAGCTGAAAATGTGGCTAGATTGGACCATCAACACCATCAACTGTCAAGTTTCAGCTATAAATCGATACCAACGTTTGAGTTTGGCAGATCTTTAATCTATTTCAAGCCCTGAAAGGCTTTTTGAATGGGCAACATTGAAACCTCTTCAATTTGGAAGGGGCAGAAGTGGCTGGATTTGATGATTACTGAGCTGTAGTACCTGTTCTACTTGATCAGGGCTCTCCATAAATTTGTTGAGGTTTTCATATTTGCAAAACTCGAACTCTGCTTGTTTTGGCTTATGCTAAACCAAATTTGGAACGAGAGAAATCTCGCTTTGTATGACTATTGCTCTAAAACTGAACTGAATTTAGAGACTAAATTCTAGCTTGACTTGCTTGTTGTGGCTCAATGAGATTTGGTTGCTTCAGTGTTTTGAAGGTTTTTTTTAGTTCAAATGATCATTTTGAGTTTTTGTTTTTGATTGATTTTTTGCCTATCCTTTGATCTGTTCACCTTCTCTCATATTTATAGAAAATGCTAGAGTGTGATTTTTTAATCTTTTAATAATGGGCGGCATATTTTCTAAAAACAAGATCTTTTATTTTAAATGTCAAAGAAAATGGAATTTTTATCTATTCTGGCAGACAAACCATCAACAGTCAGTTCTTTATGCTGATCACTTCTCTGTTTTTTTAAAGAAAAACTTAATCCCTTTTTAACCTTTAACTGCTTTTTGTAAGAATTCAATCTGTCGTGATGGTTAGTTTGCTTTTCTGATGAACAACTCCCTGATCCCTACTCATCTCTTTAGAAAATGTAGTCTGCTTATCCTTTGGAAATGATGCATGTCCTGATGCAGAATTATATAGAAAGGGATTTTGATATTCTTTTGACTGAAAAGACTGGAGATATCTTCCTATTTAAGACATGCCTTCATTAACTCCCTATCAGCTTTCTTGTGATAGTTGAAATTGTTGACTTTTCAAAGTCAGGTAATCACGTGGGTTTTCTGAGAATAGACTTTCCAAGAAGAATTTGCTAACTTGTTTCTGGGCTTTTTGAGAGAAATGGTGAGAATTTAGAAGTTGGGCCCAATCCAATTCTTCTTTAGAATTTTATTGATCTGCTTGGTGGTCAATTTGCCATTTTCACTTGGCCATTTTATTGACTTGCTTCGTGTTTTTTTTACAATTTTACCACCTCGTAAAAGACATGGGCCTCTGATGTGGTTTGAGCTTTTCTTCGAAATCAAAACCCATTCTTCTGTTCTTTTTTGTATTGTGGGCCTTTCTTTGTGAAGATGGGCTGGCGTGCGGATTTTTGGCCCAAGCACAAGGTAACTTTTGGTGGCTGCCGAAAATGAGCTTTTTTTAATTCTGGACTAGGCGTGCCAAATCAGGCCCAAACACTAACAGACTCCCTTAACAATCTAACAAAACACGTGCCATTCAATATGGTTATATGGTTATCAATATATAGCTAATTAGTTAGTGTTTTTCTTCAAGTTTTTATTTTTTTATTAATTTTTTTTTAATTTATGGGAATGGTAACAATTAAATCATTTGTATCACTTGCTATGAAATCCTCATGGTAGCCAACGAGGGTTGGTTTGGTTGAGTTGGTAAGGATCGTTCTCTATGCTATCAAGGTCTAGGTTCGAGTCTCATTGTCGACAATCCCTCTTAGTGGGTAATATGTAAAAAATCAAAAAAGTGACTAAGACCCTCTATATAAGTCCTTAAAGAAGCCTTTATATGCCTTGGGTAACCTCCCCTCCCCCTCAACTTTTTTTCACCAAAAAGGAAAAATTCCTCATAGTGTAATATCTAGAGCCCCGTTAAATAGTACAGATAATGGTAATGTGTTCGAACAGTACTCCTTACTATTTGAAAGTCTGTATAACTTTCAATATTTTTTGTTATGGGCTTAGGTTAAAGTGTTTTTTTTTCTTTCTTTATGATAGGTTAAAGTGTTCACCTTGCGATTTGCATAAGAATGATTTATAAATAAAGACATACACATTATAACATGAGACTAATAACATCACGTGGTCACATCAAAAGCAATATAAGTAGACAAGGTTTCTGAAAGTATATTTAAATAAGGAACATACCTACATTCCCATGACCAGCTAGCCTTGTGGTGGAGTAGGTATGGTGTTGTCCAAGTATGCTTGTCGAAAGCCATTTTTAAATCAATTAATTGGTTCCTTTACTAGAAGCGGCACACATTGATCATCCTTAATTTAAGAGGGAAACTTTTATACAATATGATAGCAAAACAGTATTATTCTCGTTACAAGAAAGTTATTTTTTTTCCTAATATAGACCGTTATCTAGGTTACTACATGTATTAGAAAAAAGGTCCTCTCCACTATTTCCATGAAAACGTATGAACTTGTTTAAAATGTACAAACCGGTCAATATCATCTATTTAAAAAGTTTTAGGGAGCGTCTGCATATTGCATACGAGCATATGAGTGCACTTCTGACACCAGTGTCATGGAGGAGGGGAGGCTGATTTATATAACGGTCACCTTCCTCATATGTCTATATTTGAATTTAAGTTGCGGCGCCCACTCACATCTGTAAACAGAACCGTCAATTTGATATAGCCTTTATTGGGTGCGTCACGCGTGAATGAATGGTCCACCACACCCCATCCCATACACATACACAACAACTAATAAAATAATATCCATTTCAACTTATCCAAAAATAAATAAATAAATAAATAAATAATACGTCATCACAGCTAGCTAGTTGACTAGAGTTACTACGTATTACTTCACCACCACCAAGAGAGTGCAACAAAATTAAGTACCCACAAGCATCATCACATCACCTACATAATCTGGTCAGAGAGCGACGGAAGTCGCCGGAAAAAGTTGACCGGAACAGACGGCATGTCGTCGTGGAACCTTGGGTGGCGCAAGTAATACAACCCTGACACCAACACAAAAGCCTTGAACGGCACCACGTAAAACACCAAAGACGCCACCAAACAAAACACCACAAATATGCCCGTTGCTCTTGGGTCCCTCCAATTAAAAAGCGCCTCCAACCGCTCCCCTTGCGCTGCCACGTCACCTAACAGAGTCTGGGCCCTCCCTCCTAATGCCCGCAGCCGATCGTATCTGATGCGTATTACATCCGACGGTCGCGTGGACGGGAACCCATCAAGTTCCTCGTCCAGCTCATCCGGGCTCACAGCATCAACGTAAGAGATCCTTGGGTCCATATTGGGAGGGGCCCTCTGCCGATATCGAGATCGCAGCAATAAGATCAAGAAGGCGTACATGAATACGGTGGGGAACACCAGATGCGGACATAGCACAACTGCCACGAGCAGCACGTGCACCAAAACAGTGGTGGGTGGATGCTGCCAGGTACGGATTCCGTCGAGCCAACGGGCAAACATAGCCGCACTTGACAGGCAGCCCACCACGCGAAACCAATTGGCCTTGCTTCTCCTCATGCTCCACACGTGCGTGTCGGAGTCCAACATGAACTGAACCACCTCTTGCCCCAACGGCGGCTCCGACCTCGCGAGCCGAGCCGTAACGATTCGCATGGCCGTGTGCCTCAGGATGTCTTGTTGCGCAGGGCCCAGCGGGCGGACGTAGTGCATTCTGGGAAGTATTGGGCTGCTGTACGCTTGGATCAAATTAAGCCAAGATGAGCAAGAGAATCGGACGGCTATCTCAATCTCTCCCATTTTCTTGGCCCCACCAGGAAGCAACACCGTAAGGGAATATGAGCTTTTGTACACCCGATTCGCATCGAGAGTGGACAACCGCACGCGGATCTTCCCGATCCGAATATCTTTCTCGGGTTTTCCAGCTTCGTCGCGCTTGTACCTTCCGTTGTCGAAGACTCCTATAGTGAGGACCGTACAAGGATCGTATACGTCCCAAGTGTACTGCTCGTTCCAGCGTGGATTAAACCGGTCGAGAATGGTTCGGGTCCGGACCCACTTCGGTCCGTATTTGGCAACCACGTAAGTATCGGTTGTCCCACGCACACCGTTTTTGGTCTTCACCGGAAGCAAATTTGTGGCCCCACGAATACCAACTTCGAGCAACCCAATAGGAG